TCAGATCACTTTATTTTCTTTTTCAAAATTCTACAAATTTGGCTACCTATCTGTCCTAGCCCAGCCTGGCGGTGCGGCACATTGCCCATCTACTGCACTGCCTACACTACTCCCGCTTGCTCAGTATCCCTCAGCTTCACGTGCCTCCTGTTATTTTTGCATGTCAAGCAAGCTTGACCTCCCAGACATTTTGCTGGTTATGTCCTCTGTCTGAAAATTTATTTCCCACTCCTGACCCAGACCTCCCCATAGCTCTTTCCTAACATCCTTCATGTACTTGTTTAAATTACCAGTTTCTCAGTAAAGCCTTTTCTGACCTCCCTATTTAAATTTGCCATCCTACTTCTAACTTCCACTCGCTCTGTCATGAGGATAGGAATTATAGTCTCTTTGTTTTCTACCATATTCCTAATTCCTACAACACATAACAGAAAGAATGTAAATAACTACAGTAATAATGGCAACTCATGTAGTGTTACTATTTTAGGTACTTCTAAGCAGACTGCATAAATCAACTCATTTAATTCTCTCAGAAAGCAATGTGGAGAAGGAGGACTTTCTACTCCAGCAATGTAAAGAGTTTGAGTATTTCTTCTCCATAAAAAACAAGTATAAAAATTAGAAAATATTAACAAAAACAACTATCCCATCACAGTGGAAATCAATCAAGGCAACACAACAATTTGAGAAGCATTAATTCACAAAAAACTACTGGAGATTCCAGTAAGAACATCAGGAAGCTAGGGCCTCGCCTGGAGCCAGGTGGTCCCGAGGGCCTTTCTGCCAACCCTGGCTGGGGAACAGCTGCAGAAACCAGCTTGGCTGACATAGGTGGAAGGCTCAATTTGGAACAAGAAGAGAGGGCAATGATTCCTGGTTTCTCCCACAGGAAGTGGGAAATTAAGTTTAGAAAAGTAGGGAAAAACCACAGCTCCTGGAGCCTGGGGCTGTGGTCCAAATTTCGGGTCAGTGATAGAACAGCAGGATTCAACAGAAAAATCCTAGCATTCAGAGGCCACAGAGGACTGAAAACCTTCCACGCACCCCTGGCTGCCTGAGGAGCTGTGTGTGCATGGGAAACACCTTGAAAGAGTCTGCCTGCACTAGCTTGATTTTGCAAAACGGTGTCAAAAACGGAAGTCATTCTTAAATTCTTGAGTTTCAGGGACGTATTTCAAGTTCTATTCAATGCAAAGTCCTTATTTTTAAACTCTTTAATATCAAAGACAGTTTTTTGTGTGTTATTCAGTAAAAAGGTAAAGCTACTGATTAATTTTAGTATTATCTACTGTTAAATATGCCTTCAAAACTTATGGGGCTGGAAAAACATGATTTACAAATTCAGATAAAGACATTACATCAGTATTTCTTTTATTTTTTAATAGCAGAAGTGGAGGCATAATATGACATCATGCAGGATTAATTAACTATTTAATTAAGCAAATACTTGCTGAGTCCCTCTTATGTGCTTAGCACTGTGTTATTTGCTGAGAATACACTGGAAAACACAGTAGACTATGTCCAACTTTTGTGGACCACATATTACCATGTGGAAGATACAATAAATAAGGGGAAAAAATCAGCAAATATCACTGATTATTGATTAGCAGTATCACTTTGAAGCGGCTAAACTGAACCCTAATGGAGAAAAATAGGTCAGAGATCATACGACACTTTTAGTGGTCAAGGAGGTTTTTTCTTCTTTTTTCTTTTTCTTTCTTGTGTGTGCGGTTTTTTTTTTGTTTTTTTCTTTTTTTTTTTTACTGCAAACTAGCTTTATGCAAAAATTCTGCATGAGGCCTGAGATAAGCCTGTTCCTTTTTGTGCTGCTCTATATCATTTCTTTTTTTCTTTTATAAAGATTTTATTTATTTATTTTTAGAGAGAAGGGAAAGGAAGGAGAAAGAGAAGGAGAGAACCATCAATATGTGGTTGTCTCTTGTGTGCTCCTCACTGGGGACCCAGCCTGTAACCCAGTCATGTGCCCTGACTGGGAATCAAACTGCCGACTCTTTGGTTTCCAGGCTGGCATTCAATCCACTGAGCCACACCAGCAAGGGCTCCTCTATATCATTTCTCACACACTGTCATGAGCTATTCTTTTTTTTTAAGGCAAACTTTTCTTTCTTTTTTTATTTTTTACTTTTGTCAATTACTTTTTAAAATTTTTGTTCAAGTACAGTTGTTTCTGTTTTCCCAGCACCACTTTCTCCTGTCCCACCCTCAATCCTTCCTTGCTTAGGGTTTGTCCATGGGTCCTTTACACACATTCTTTGATGACCCTTCCCCTTCTATTCCCATGTTATCCCCCTCACCCCTCCCCTCTGGTTACTGTCAGTTTGTTCTTTACTTCAGTGTCGCTGGTTGTATTTAGCTTGCTTGTTTGTGTTGTTGATTAGTTTCCACTTACAGGTGAGATCATAAGGTATTTGTCTTTCACCCCCTGGCTTAATTCATTTAGCATAATGCTCTCCAGTTCCATCCATGCTGTCTCAAAAGGCAGTAGCTCTTTCTTTCTTTCTTTCTTTCTTTCTTTCTTTCTGTTGCATAGTATTCCACTGTGTAAATGTACCATAGCTTTTTGATACACTCATTTACTGTTGGGCACTTAGGTTTCTTCCAGCACTTGGCTATTGTAAATTGTGCTGCTATGAATATTGGTGTGCATAAGTTCTTTTGAATTGATGTTTTGGGATTCTTAGGATATAATCACAGCATTATATCCTAATTCTTAGGATATAATGGAATTGCTGGCTCAAAGGGAAGTTCCATTTTTAGTTTTCTGAGGAAACTCCAAACTGTTTTCCACAGTGCCTGCACCAGTCTGCATTCCCACCAACAGTGCACTAGGGTTCCTTTTTCTCCACAACCTCACCAGCACCTGTTCGTTGATTTGTTTATGATGGCCATTCTGACCGGTGTGAGGTGGTATCTCACTGTGGTTTTAATTTGCGTCTCTTTGATGGCTAGTGATGCTGAGCATCCTTTCATATGTCTCTGGGCTCTCTGTATGTCCTCCTTGGAGAAAAGTCTGTTCAGGTCCTTTGCCCACTTTTTAATTGGATCGTTTGTCTTCCTGGAGTGGAGTCGGGTTAGTTCTTTACATATTTTGGAGATCAAACCAATGTCTATGGTATCACTGGCAAATATGTTTTCCCATACAGTTGGTTCCCTCTTCATTTTGCTGACATTTTCTTTAGCCGTGCAGAAACTTCTTATTTTGATGAAGCCCCATTTGTTTATTCTTTCCTTTATGTCCCCTGCTCTAGGGGAGATATTGATGAAAATATTGCTATGTGGAATATCTGAGATTTTCCTGCCTATGTTCTCCTCTAGGACTTTTATGGTGTTGCAAACTTATATTTAAGTCTTTTATCCATCTTGAGGTCATTTTTGTGTGTGATGTAAATCAGTGGTCAAGTTTCATTTTTTCGCATGTTGCTGTCCAGATCTCCCAACACCATTTGTTGAAGAGGCTATTTTTACTCCATTTTATGCTTCTTCTCCCTTTGTCAAATATTAACTGACCATAGACACATCGGTTTATTTATGGACTCTCTATTCCATTCCATTGATTTATGTGTCTGTTCTTATGAGAGTACCAGATTGTTTTGATTACAGCAATCTTATAATATAGTTTGAAGTCAGGTATTGTGATCCCTCCTACTGTTCTTCTTTCTCAAAATGGCTGTGGTTATTTGGGGCTGTTTATGGTTCCATATACATTTTTGAAACATTTGTTCTATATCTGTGAGATGTCATTGGTATTTTAATAGGGATTGCATTGAATCTATAAATTGCTTTGGTTAGTATGGACATTTTGATGATGTTAATTCTTCCAATCCATGAGCACGGTATATGCTTTCATTTATTTGTGTCTTCCTTAATTGCTTTCTTCAGTGTTGTGTAGTTTTCTGAGTACAGGTCTCTAACCTTCAAGGAGGGTTTCTTTTGGGGGCAGCCTAGCCTGGGGTTTTAGGGCACTGCGTCTGAAAAGAAAGAACCAATTCTAGCTCTTTCACTTACTGATTATGAGATTTGGGGCAAGTCACACAACTGTCCTCTGCTTTGATTTCCTTATCTGTAAAATGGGAATAGTAATAGCATATAACTTGTAAGGTCCATGTGAGAATTAAATGAGTTATTGAATGCTGTGTTTTTCAAATTAAAAATTAAAACAGGCCCGCCAGCCAAGAGGGAAATCAACCTTGCAGAGACCCAAGAGAATTCCTGGCTGAGAAAAATGATCCCTACAAAGGCCCTGGGTATTTTAAGAAGCCAGACGCCCTCCGTGCAGGGAGTACAGAGCCTGGGTGAGACTGCGCTGCAGGAGGGAGTGTGAGAAGGCAGGGGCCAGACCCGGATGCGAAGGCGAAGTTCGTGCATGAAAGTTAATGATGGATATACTAACTCACATGTCCTCTAAATGAAACAGACTAATTTACTTGAATCAGAAAATACGTCAGAAATAACTAGAGCTAGCTTCACCTGTGTTCTCTCTGGTTGTAAATTACAGGTGCCTTTTCCAACTCATGAGTGAAACTGTCAGCCAAGAAAGTAACTTAGTTAAATTGATAGAAGAAAAAACCCAAAAACTGGGCACCCAAATCTCTGACGCTAGGTGTTACATTCCTTAGGCAACACAAAAGCCACTTGCAAACCCTAAAACACAAGCTCAGAAGTACCTCTGGAAATGAACAGGAAACTAATGTGCCATGTAAAGTTTGTCACCAGTTTACTGTCCCAGCCTTATATCCCCTCCACCAACACCCACGGAGACATAATGCTGGAGTCCATGTGGCAGAAACAGAACAGAATCTCCTTTTCTTTAAGAGATAAACCCATTTTTTTAAATGAATAATCAAAGGGTAGCTAAATTCCAAATACTACCAAGGGCCTGCATATTTTCTATAAGATAAATCGAGGAGGAAAAAGTCCAGAATCTCAGAAGAGCTAAGACAGAGACGGGGACGGCAGTAAGGCTACGTAAAGAGCTCTACCTTGTGCAGCCAGCTCTTTCCATCTCTCCTTGTTCTGCTGGATGATGTCTACCAGGTTGTTCTTGAAGCTCTTCAGGTCCACGCTTGCAAGGGAGTAGTCTGGGCTGTAGGTTCCGTCATTCACGGTGCCTTTCACATTTGATCGTCTAAACAAATCAGCAGTATAAACCCATAAAGGTATGTGAGCTAACAGTAACAACCAAACAAACCAGAAAACACCAAAGTCATGTTATTGGGATGGAGGGAGCAAAACCTGAAATGCTTTACAAAACCAACTGGAGAAGCCAGATGGCAGGTGCTCAGGCCTAGTTTTGAGCACATGTTAATGCTGCTCAGCTGCTTCCTTTCCTAACTTCACAGAGAGAGCCAGGGATTCTGTCAGGGGTGCCCTGGGTCTGTCGGGGACTCCCAGAGCAGCAGGTTGGGATGCTTTTAGAGAGTGGGGAGGCCTTAGAAGAGCTGAGAACCTTGGGGTGAGCTGCCTTACTAGTGAGTCTATTAATGAACATCATCAACGGGCACCATAATTCTAGAGCCTGAAGCGGGCGGTGGCAACTGCTCCTTCCTCCACCATTTAATCACCAGGGTAACCTGAATCTCTCTCAGGTAGAACACTTCCCCAGTTTCCTCATTAGGGCAACATTTAGGGCCCCTGTTGATGTGCTATTAGGAAAAGTTGTGTGTTCAGATGGGTAAGAATTTAGCATGATTTTTCTGCAAATGGAAGTTTTAAGTAATACCCCTTAGCAAATTTATTGATGATAAAATCTAGTTTAAAATAATGTAAGTTGCATATATGATGGACATTTTATAGATTGCTTGTATTCATGCCTTTTAACAGGCTAACTGATAAAGGCATCTTCCTAGATACACAAAAGGTTGTGATTGATTTGTTTGTAAGCAAAATAACACAACCAGATATGCTTCTATATCCAGGAAATAATACATACACCTTCAATAAAAATTCAAATAATTTTATTCTCCTTGGTAGTGAATACTATCTGGTATATGCCTTAGTACTATGATACTTTTGTAACCAAGTTTATTTCAAAGGCATATGCAATATAATACATGGCCATTAGGTGGCAATACTACTTAAAAATTCTTGAAGAATTTTCGGTCTACATGTAAGAAGTAATAAAGATTTTCATAAGTGAAAGGTTATGAAACATCACAAAGATGAAGAATGATGCAAAAAAGAAAATATCAAACCTGCTTGCTCCATAAGAATTTTCTGTTTTTGAGTCTTCCTCTATAAGAGGAATAATGATTTTCTCTGTTGAGTCTGTCAGAAGAGAAAATGTTGGCTCTACTATGAAATCAATAAAACCTACAAAAGCAAAAAAAGATAAATTCAAATGTTACAATTTACTGAATTCCAAAATAAGTAACAATGAAGAGTCTCGGATGCTCCTGATAGCAAGTATCAACAATAATACTGAATTATTTACCCCTTACAATGATTTTTATCCAATAACATGGATTTTTATCCAATCTGTAGGGATGGTCTAACACATTATTTCTGTAGAACATATTATTTCAAACAGTGGAAGTGATTCAATGTAAGCTTGCTAACTCAAGTATATTGGCTTTCCTACTTACTATTCAGCATCATACTATTTATTGTTAACAATAAATTTACATCTAACCAGAATTAATATATTTGGCTTTCTCAATGAGAGAGATCATAACCCTTCCTGAAAGATCTTCACTTGACTGTTGAATTTTGTTATTGACCAACAAGAAAAAACATCTAAGCTTCAAAGAAATGAAATTGAAGTTTTTTTCTCAGGTAATAGGAAATCAACCACTTTTTTTCCATTCTGATTTTATTAGTCAGAGCTTTCTGCCAGTATGTTAATATTTCATATTGCTGTTTGTTATTCTCTGGATGTGAAGTGTTAGTTCACAGCGTGTGGGCGTCTTCTGTCAAATCAGCAAAGAGCACTACCATCACTGAGAGACAGCATTAATTTCACCACTTGCAGGTGTCAGAATGAATAAAGACTTTTACATTTATAGTGCTCATCAAGACAGAAAATGACACACGGAGAGAATAAGGGCACTTACCACCCAGTGTCTAGGTGAAGGAGAATGCAACCTACTCTAAGCACTGTGTACATTTACCCCCCCAAGGCCCCAGGAGAGGTGGGGTGCCGAAGTCCAGCGCGCATGGCCTGAAACACACCTGGGAGCAGTGGACTACCATCCGAACACAGGAGAACAGCTAGAGGGCAGCTTTTTAGGTACTAGCTAGTGTCCAGAGCAATATTCACATTTGAAGAGTAGCTCATCTGCCAGATATTCAGGTAAAATTAATTCACAGTTCAGATAACTGGGTTCGTCATAGAATACATTAAGCTACATTTTTAATTTAAAAGAACTTTAATGATAGTTTTGTATATTAATTAGTGCCTTGCGGTCAGAACAATGTTAGCTGGCTACCCAGGGTGTTACTTAAAGTTCTGGCTACGGTTTTAAATGCCCGGGATATGACCTGTCAAATAAGAGGTCATCTGTACAAACATATGAGCAATTTCTATTACAGCCACAAGTCTCAGAGACTTCTATTCCTCCCAGGTTGCCCGAGAAGGTCCTTAGCCTGCTACACTCACGCCTGCATGATAGACACCTGTGTTATGGTGTCTAGAAAAACAGCATTTGGAACTTGGGTGGGAAGGGGAAAAGGTCAGAGCAAGAAGCTTTCTTACAGCTGACTGCATGTGTAGGAGGTGGAGCTGGAACAGCTACAGAGGTGAGGAAGCCATCTAATAGTTATGAAGTAATAAAGATGCTGGCCCAGGGAATGACTATTACAGATATTTGAACTGTACGGTATAGTGATAATACATTTTAACAGTGGGCTGAACTTGAAGTCTCCAACACAAATACAAATAAAGAATGAATATGGCTGAAAGCAGTATCATTTTATAAATTTCGTATTGTTGGCTTATCTATTCATATCATAAGATTTTTTCCAAAAGAATATGAGTTAGTATATTAAATATATTATGTAAACTCAGTGATAACAGAACAGATATTGATATTTTTATTAAATTGTTCTATAGTCAAAATATTAAATTACAGAAAACAATAATCAGCCACAAAAACAGCAAAAAATACTGTCTCTTTCACAAGATTAAAATCTTTTTTATAAAAGGATTACAAACAGAATAATAATTACATTTATTCATGCTGCTTTATCGAATTGCCTTTATGAGAATGTTTTAATAAAGCCTATGATTTAGCACCACATAGGTGTGTCTAAAGAACTAATTTATCATGACTATGGAGTGAGGTTCTCATGGATGTTGCCCTTTTGAAAAGCACAGTGTATCCATTTGAAAACTGACAAGCACACCCACTCTCTGCGACCACCCATCTCCCATTACCTATTTGTGACTGGGCCACCATCGTCGACTTCCGATCACAAAGTGGGGAAAATGGAAGCCCTAACTCAGCTTCTTTATCTCCCTGCAGAAAGGAAAGCTCATTAGTATACAGACTTGGTTTGGAGAAGCTCAGATTACAAGCAGCCTAGATACAAAGCCAAATGCCACAACTTTCATTTCTTCATTGACACTGTGTATTTATTTATTTTGATAATACCAAACACTGTAGTCTCGGTTTATGTAATTCTACTCAGAAGGCCTGCTTTGGGGACATATTCCAAAGGAAAAAAGAAATGAACAATTTCAACATGTGGAGACTCTGCCTTGGTATTACAGCCTCTCAACTGTAGACACACCTTGCTCTTTAGAATTTTCTGAAGTCACCGTAAAATAGGAAAGGATCTGCATTATACATGGGTGTAATGATTGCATGATCTCAGTGTGTTATTTCACATTTAATTAACAGTCCAGCTCACAAATTTTTCTGCTTTATTTTGTCCTGCGCCAAACACACCAGCAGATCTTCAGTATCAAGAATTCTTAATTACACTGCTTTTTGAAATTCAAATTATATGAGCATTTTGAAACATCTTGCTATTTATTAACCAATTTTATTTGAATGTCCCACAGGAAGCAACGAAGAATATCTTTAACATTCTTAAATTCTACATGCATAATCTTATTTACTATTTTCTCAGAGAAATTTAAATATCAGTGATTTTTTAATTATTTGGTCTTACCGAGCACATATGTTAAAGAATTCTATTTAAATGTTTGGGTTTAACATCAGAAGAGCTAATTAGACTTTCATCTCCTAAAATAAAGATGATTGCTCTGGGTAAAACTTCATTTTAGTAAGGTTTATTCATTCTTTCCTTTGCATTTAAAGGGGATGTGCTTTCCAAAGAAACAGAGAGAATATGTTACTTGCGCCTGTTCACTTCAATTGACCATTTGAAGGAATGCTTTGGGGGTCTATTTTCTCCTGAGCTACTGGTTGCATACCTTTGAGGGGTACACTGGCCTTGTATAAGCCCACCATTTGAGACATATAGTCAGGTTCTGAGATCAGGAGACAAAAGGCAGGGGGTCTTCACTTTCACTTTGTTATGAAGCCCATGTAACTGTGCAACAACTCTCTGAGGACTTAGGGTTTCCACTCATTCTGCTCCTTTAACATCTTTCATCAAGATTTACAACATCATGTCAATATATTTTATTGGCTTTCATGTTTTATTGACTATGTTTTCTGGTGCATTTCCTCTAAACCATGTCTCTGATTATGAGGAGTGGAAAATTTGATATCAGAATTGTTTGGGAAAATCTAGATGGAAATAGCTACACACAGGAACATTTTACCACGCCAGGACTTAAAGCAAACAGGGATTAGAATTTTTGTGTTCTCTCCCAACAACTATCCTCATTCCCCTAGAGAATAACAACATCCATTCCACTTGGAATTAATGTTTATACCCAGCTTAATGGACAGATGAAAAGGAATTATTAGGACCATTAGCCTTGAAGTCACAAGACACAGTATTGAATCACTGTTGTTCAGCCGGCTACCGTATTTTGCCATGTATAATGCTCATTTTTTGCCCAAATTTTTGAGGGAAAAATAAGGGTGCGCATTATACATGGATATAATGATTGCATGATCTTGTGTATAATGTGCACAAAACATGGGTGCACATTACACACAGCAAAATGCGGTATCTCTGTTACTTCCGATACACCATAGCCTTGGCTAAAATCGATTCTCCTCATCTGTTACTTGGTAATTTTGGTTTACTCATTTTAGGAATAAAGACATACTAGTATCTACCAACTAGAATCATCCTGGGCTTACCTAAGCTAATGTTCATGTCAGCTAGCTCTTCATGGAGGTCTTGCTGTCATTTGACTGTGCTGCCTTCAGGAGGCCAAATATATACTTTTAAAGATCAAGAGCTTACTGAACACACATCTGTTCTGAGGTATTGACTTCTATAAGTGATCGGAGCAAAATTACAGGGCCCTCAAGTCACTAAACTCAACTAATTAAGCAATGCCACTCAGTTACACCCCTGGAGCTCTGCCTCTGCCCTTGGGGGTGAGCCGGCAGGTGTGCACACGGAGGAAGAGGCCCCGTCCGCCCGGAAAGAAAGGAGGCTGGGTGTGCTCAGGCCTGACAGCTCATGCCTGTCTCTGCGATTCCCTTGGAGGCTGCTGAGATTTCTTCTCTGAAAGGCTGTGACAACATCCTAATAATTGTTTTTATGCTTTCCTAACATTGTGAAATGCTCTGATAGCTGTCAACAAGCTGTCAAATCCAGTGACTTAATGGCACATTTTTTCTGTTTTGCATTTTTCTCTGAAGTCAAACAGTTTCTATAATTTTAAAGAAATGCAGAAGGTAGAAAAAAGTAAAGTATAAAATCTTGAGAAATCTCTTTGAACTGAAACCTAAGCTTTAATCACAGAAGCAACACCAGCGCACACAGGTGGCAAGCCCCTGGCCAGTCTTAGGGGCCATGTAAGGCCGAATCTGTATTTGAGGGACCTCTATTTCCATAGAGGAATTGAACTGCGATTTAAAAAGAAAGGCATGCGCAACCGTTTAGTCTTCTGGAACAACTTAGTTAAGGAATTTAGGCTGCCTAATTACCTTCCTACATTCCTCCTAAAAATGGCCCTTGTAGATTCTAAGAAAGTCACCAAGACTGTTCAAATATTTAATGATTATTATAACTAACATTAAGTTTCAGCAGAATTTATATGATATAATTCTATTTTTGTGTTATAAATATTTTACAGAACATTAATATGCCTTGTATAATTGATGTTTACATTTTTATTCTTCTTCAAACTATAAGCTTAGATTTTTAAATTTTAAGTTATTATCCTGGATCATAGCTACAGTTCTTTAAATTTATGAAAATGTTTTGGTTGTGTCTCTAAGTTTGTGATACCAGATCCTTAGCTGAGAATACACTAACTACATTTTTATTACTATGGGAAATACAATTTATTTTTAACTGACACGCTTTATATAATTTCTAGCAACATTGAATAAAATAAAGGGGCCTGACTATATATAATTTAGGATAAAACTATCATTTTGACCCCTTCTAAATAACTTGCATTTCCAGTTTTTTGTTTTTCCTTGGCTGAAAAGGTAATGTCTATTGGTAAATGTTGATTTTATACATGCATTTATTTTTTTTTCCATGTGTACAAAGCAACTATTTGAAAAAGGGAAAATGTCACTTAGTTACTGGGTTCATTTTGTATGAAGTATGAACAAATTCTAATGGCAGTGACTATTTTTTTTAACTTTGAATATATTAACTTTTTGTTATCTTGCCAACCTATTATGTCTGTTCAAGAAGAGACTAAGAAGTAAAAACCTATCTTCCTTTACTAATGGTTGTTTTCTTGGCTGGTACCTACATCTCTGATCTCTCAATAATTTCAGTCATAGTTGAACCAAATGGAGCTTTTTGCAAATGCACCCATTCCAGCCAGAGGGCAGAAGTAGCGGTATTGACGTGCATGAATGCTCAGAGAGAACATTAACTGTGTTGATGATAATACAGGTGTTCAATGAGAAATGCCTTGGAGATAAGGATCTGCTTTATCTTCTTTACCATCAGCTGCTTACTCAAGAGTCAAAAATAAGAGTTTCTCAAGATTGCAAATTCTGGATACAATTCTGGTCTCTTCTTGCTACAATTTGTCATGACTTTAGAAAGTCCACCTAAAATAGTTATACCAAGGATTAGGGTAACACTGATGGGATTTTAAAGGATGATACAAATAGCTTGGTCCACAGTGGCTTGTCTTTCAAAAATTCATGGTGTTAAAAAATTGTTAATTTTTACGTTATTTTAAAAGCCCTTTTGTTAGATAAAATAAACCTGGTAGATAAACTCATAAACTGATTTAGAAGTCAACACATCCCAAAATTCCTCTGGATATTTCTTAAACATTAACTTATATGTATACATATGTGTGATTTTATATGTGCACACACACATGCACACATAAATTTTCTTGTTGCTCTAAAATGATTCTAAAAATGAGTCCTTTCTCTCACTAGTTTTTTTTTATTTTTGAATTAATATCCAGTCTCTAATTTTGTTTAAAACCTACTGAATAAATTTCAAGTCTAGTGGTATATTCCACAGAGGAAAAGAAAAAAAAAACCCTTCTCTTTATTGGCTAATTTTTAAATCATGGTGTTGGGAATGTGTTTTTAAATTATGGGCAGATCCTCCAAAGTTTGGCTTGAAGTAAGTATCAAATAACAAAATATCAATGTCTCACTAATACTTTGCCTCGGAAAAATATAAAGCTTAAAACAGATTGGGAGAAATACAAATAATACCAATTCCTTATATTTGTATTATGTCTCTAAGATCTCTCACAATTATTCTATCATTTTGTTCCTCAAAGCTATTCTGGGTTGAGGCAAAGTGGAATTAGTACCATCTTATAGGTAAGAAGGTGAAGAATCACATTCCCTCTGCTGGAAAAATGGAAACCTAGGGCTTGTACATGTGCGTTTTCTGAAGCTGAGTCAAATTATCTCTTACTTTGGCATTATCAGCCTTCTTATGCTTGCTCAATATACATAAAATATTTTCTTTAACAAGAAACACAAAATGTTTACATTTATACAGCAGCTGAGGGCAGTGATGAGTCCTGGGCAGATCTGGTCTGATTTGCCTCAAATTCTGTAGTATACATAGTGGATCACATGCCACAGTATTTCAATCTTTAGTACATTCCAAAGGAATGAAGGAATATATATTCAAATGGATTTGCAAAAGTGTTATTTTGACTGAGATAAAAAAAAAACCCCGAGTCACTTGGCTACGTATGAGAAGGGATCTCTCAACACAGTGGATTCCACAAAGTGAGTTTCACAGGTGGTGACATAAGGATGAGCAAGAATAAGAAAAAAATATAGAAGAACCTGCAGCACTGCCAATGTCTAGCACCTCTGCATAGATCCACAGATTCAGTTAAATAGCTTATGTCAAATACACTCAGAGCAAAGCATACACCAAGGAGTTTCAGGTTCATCGCTGTATCCACTTCCAAAGGGCTACAATATGTGGAATGTCTAAAAATATGTAAGGGGACTGGAAGACTCACTAGTTAACTGAATGCATGAAAGCATTTTACCTGTGCGAGTCAAGGTCATATTCTAGCAGAAGTCTCATAAACTTGTTTTGCTTGTAAAACATGTTTGTTGGCAGGATAAACTCACTCACTTTGACCTTTAACTCCACATTCTCGTGTTTTGCTGTACGTATATTTCTGAAGGGGATTTGAATGTCATTTACTTTTAAAAATCCAAAGACAGAGAGCTATGAGATTCTAGTACTAAAAACTAAAATCCTAAATCAACTTATTAGGGTCTGAGAGGATTTTAGTAGTTGAAGAAAAGAGGCAATGTTAGCAGAGCTAGTTTGATTTTCTAATAACCCATAGTAACATACACACTTTACTCTCCTTAAAGATATAGATATATTGCCTTCTACATTAACGATATCAAAGCAAAGACTGTCATTTCTTAACATTTTAGGGCTACACAAATACCTATCATTGTCCAGCGAGAGTCTTATCAAAACAAAACAAAACAAAAATCTGATACCTCCTTCCTCTAAGTAACACAATCTGAAAAATGCAGATCACAAAACCAAGCATAATGTTATACCTCTTCTAAGACTTGACCTTTTGTGTTGGGTATATCTTAAACATTAATATTCAGATATCTGAGTCACCGTTTACTAAGCCCTGGGAGTGACAAAGGAGCTAAGCAGCCTTACGGAACAACACCCTTCTACCCTGAAATTCAGATATCAAAAATCACTGCATGTTGGAAGCTTCATTATTGGTATCTCAGTCATCCTTCCAGAAAATTCAAGAATAAGATGAACTTCAAAAACATCTGCACTCAATTCCATGGAATTCATTACTCTCACAATTCTGTCCATTATTCTTTGTCTAGTTTGAGATCAATAAAAAACAGAAATAATACAAGTCATGGTATTATTTGGAGATCTAGCAGTAATTTTCAAGAGTCTCTGGGATTCAGAAGAGCTATTTTTTTAACACAGTGATTTTTCTTTTTAGAGTTCTTAAGGCATTAATGAAGCACCTTTATTCTAATGCATTATTTTCTAAACCAAGGAAAAATTTATGTTCAAATCTTACCTGTGTTAATTATGAACACACTTGTGTAAATAACAGTCAGTGAAGATATAAAACATTTTCATTCCCTTACCCGCCCCAAAAGAATGTTTCCTTAACGTCTTCCAGTGAATCCCACTCCATACAGGCACCTGTTGTTCAGACTTCAATCAGCATAGATCAATTTTGCGAGTTTTTTAACTTCATACAAATGGAATCCATACAGTATGCATTTTTTGACATTTATTGTTGTTTATAGTTAGTCCATTTTTTATTGTTGTATGATATTCCATAATATGACTATACCATGATTTATTTACCCATTTCTATCTTTGATGTGCATTTGGACAGTTTATAGTATTGGGCTACATAACTACTACTGTATGACTACTCCAAATAAGACATTCAGTGGGCATAGCACTAATTTTTCTGGGTTATACACCTACGGATGAACATGTTTGGTCATAGGGGATATTAAGTTTAACCTTAGTAGATACTAACCAGTAGTTTCCCAAATGGGTTGTCATGATTTATACTCCTACCAGCAATGCCTGACACTTGCAGTTGTTCCACTTAAGTAATACTTAGTATTGTCCATCTTTTCATTCTAGCCATTCTGGTGAGGATGTACTGTATCTCATTGCGGTTATCAATCCTTTGAAAAGTAATGATAATGATCATACTTTTATATACGTATTACCCATTTATGTATTTTATGAGGTGTCTGATCAAATAGGGCTGATTTTCTTTTTATTATTGATTTGTAGGTGTTCTTTATACATTCAGGGAATAAGCTCTTGGACAGCTATTTGTAGTACAAGATAATTTTCTCTAGCTCCATGGCTTGCTATTTCTTAATAGTATATTTATAAGAGCAGAAGTTTTAAATTTTGCTTTTGTCCACTTTACCATTTTTTAATATGTAGTACTTTATGTGTGTCTGCTCTAGCCTTTACCTCTTAATAGCAGAAAACAACTCTAATTCTCTCTCTCACTCTCTTTCTCTTCCTTCCTTCCTTTCTTTCAAGTGATGTCTGAGATTGAAGGCTTGACTCTTTTTAACATGTATATGGTACCATGTAGAGTTTTTAAATACATTTACCTGAAATATTAATGAATTTTGCCTAAAGTCCAAGAATATATTAAGACCATTCTGTACAGAAATGTGTACATCAATATGCACGGTCACTGTTTCCAAAAACATTGCACAGAGTATGAAAGATGCACCTGTCGGAAAAACTCCTCCATCAAGGCCATGGTCCACCGGTGGTGCAGCTGCCAGCATTTGGCTGGGTGGCTGATGTCGGCTGCATGAAGAATCAGGGACATGGTTTTGGCCCTGTCAATCCTGTAAAACCAGGGACATACTCAAATTAGCAGAACAAAGTAACCAGTTACAGTTCATTCTTAGTTCAAACTCATGGAACTCTAACGTCACAAAAGACAATCACCTACCCTTCTGGCTGTTGCAAACTGTTTCTTATATTTTTAATTTGCTGGAAGTGACCAGACATGTCTGTAGACAAAACCATTTCAATCACTAAGTTCCGAAGATCCCTGTGGAGGCATCAAGAGGAAAAGGGTTCATTTAGCCTTTTAATGATCTCAAGAGGAACATTTCCTTAAACATCACGGGTTACATTTCATTTTTCTTAATAGATATGAACACAGAAGAGGCTACTTTTTAAATGAAATAGCACTTTAAAAAGTTTACATTATTTTATCTTTTGACATGTAAGGATTTAGGAAGTTGCTTGGAGAGGGACCTATGAACGATGCTGTTGAACATCTCCCCTTAAGGAGCTGATGCTTTCTCCTCCCACACCTGCAACCATCCCCACTCATAAACCCTAAGTATTGTTTTTCTGTCTAAAAGGATCCTAACCAATTTTAAAGAGAAACTATGACACATGCAGAAGGTGCTGTTAATAAAATCACCACTATTTAATGTTACAGTAGGCAGATAGTTATTAATGAAAGAGAAGGGAGCTAGACACCTGATTCGGACAGATCAACTAGGAACGGATAGTTTCACAGTCACTCTGGGCATCAGAGTAGCCAGGAGAGAGGCTTTTCCGTCACCCGAGGGAGCGGCCGGCACCATTCCACTGGATTCACAGTGGGAGCGAGAAAATGGGAAAGAAGTTCCTTTGACTAAGCACATGAGCAGTGGGAACTGAATGACAGAACAGAACTATGAGGCATGTGCAGGAGAAGCCAAATGTGACCATACTGGGGAGGAGTCTAGCCTAGGAAAATCCGGGAAAAGATCCCGTAGGATAAGGGCACAACACCCCAGAAGACCTAGGAAAGGGCCTGGATAGGGGAAGGCCCCGGCACAGGCCAGGAAAAGCTAGGAAAGAGGCTGAATGGTTTGAAAGAAAGCCTCCACTTTTTTGAACCCAAGAAAATAAATGGAGACTTAGCAGGGACCTGGACACAGTCGCGATTATAGCCGCCCACTCTCTGCTTCTCCAACAGCCTATTATCGCTTTTCACTCTAATAAAACTTGCCACTATCTTTTAAAATCTTCCTACACCGTGTCCCTGAAATTCCTTTCTTGCAACACCTCGGAAGAACCCCATTTGCAGACCGGACTCGAGGAGACCTGCTTGGGCCTCTGTCTGCCACAGTCCCAGTCCCAGTCCTCCTCCCATAACGTTTATACAGTATGTACTCAGTGCAGCAGTGTTTTCGGTGCTTTGTGTAAAGTACTATGTAAAGACATTCAATCTTCATAACAATGCTGTGTGGAGGTTGTATTCTTTTCTACCAAAGAAGATTGAGTCTTTTGCCCAGTCACACGGGTGGTACAGAGCAGAGAGAAGGTTCACACCAAGAGTCCCACGTCCAAAGCTGATGCTTGGAGCTCTCACTCCACTGTGCCAAACTTCCACCTTAGAACCCCAGAAACACAGACGCTAAAGCAACTGGAGTTTTTTGCTTAAGCTTTCGAGACCCAGACCCTACATGTCATAAACAGAGCTTTCAGTACTCTTGAAAAATTTTAACCAAGACACTGTAAATATGGTGACCATGATCACAAACCTATACATAAATACATCATTCTCAAACTAAGGCCAAAGTAAGTTGTCCCAGCTAGCTTGCATCTTCCACAATTCATGGCTTGATTAGTACAGACAGTTAAAATACAGGGCATGGCAAAAGTAGGTTTACAGTTGTATGTGAAACACAGAATTTATTCTTGTATTATTATTTATTAAGTATTGTAATATTTTACATACATACAACTGTACTCATAAACATATTTTTGTCCCACCTTGTAGTCACTCATATGGAAAACTATATTTTATTTTAATTGTGTGGTGTGACCTGCAGAATAAACTACCTGAAGACAGCATGATCAAACTACTTGTTTTTAAAAACAATCACATATAGGAAGTTCTTGTTGAAAAACATGGGTGCTCAATTCGACTGTATTTTTAGATGGGAGCCATGCTAGTTTAGAATACCTTTGGCTAAATACTAACTGAAGGGACATTATTAAAGATAATAAAATTATTCTAAATTACATTTCTTCCTCTGAAATTCTGAAGATACCCATAGTACAGTAGCTACTGACCCAACATATTTACATTAAGGAAAAATGAGACTAAAGTTTTAAAAAGTCTACAAATTAATAAATACATTGTGCTTTGTAGATAACTTATCAGTAAATGCTAGATATTATCAATAATCAACTAAAACATGTCAATAAATAAGAAAAAATAGTGCACAAGGGGAATGTTACTTTATGAATTATTGTTGCTAAAATGTTAATATTGTTGCATTTGTGGTTACTGAAGTTACTTTAAGAAATAAACAGATATGCAAACAGAAAACATACAGGTCATTAAAAACCTATCCATATTTTAGTTTTTGGTAAAATGTTAAGTTTATACCAGCAAAATTATAGCTTTTTGGAAGCAATGTTGGATTGGTTAAATTCTATAATCAATATGACATGAATAGTAATTGTTAAAAAAACAATTCTATAAAAATATACAATTAGAATGACTGAGAAGTTACTGTATGGACATTTACAAAAAATACAGGAATAAATTATTAGAGTAAAATATTAAAGATGTTAAAGAACATTGTGTAAGAGAAACAGAATCAACTTGGAGAAGGGAAAAGTTTAATTCAAACTTTAAAGGAATAATAAAAATAATAATAATATAAATGTTACCTCTGTGAATTGAAAATCACTGTTGAAGAAGTAAATGCTCTCTATGTAAATAGTCAAGTCAATCTTTCCAACCTTAGGAAATACCTCCAAACTTGTCTCCCTGATTCTACCTTTGCACTTCTGTTCTCCAGGTAGCCCAGCAACAGTCACTTTCTAAAATCTTTTTACAGTTAGATCCTAGCCTTCCTAGGCTGGAAACCCTCATGGGCTATTGCTTCCCGCGGAATGAAATAGCCTGAACTGGGTTCCCCAAACAAAATGCCTCCTTCCTTTCTACCTCCCCTACTCCACCCCCCCATCTTATAGTTGTTTATAAGTTGCAAAGTAGCCTTGAATACCCAGGAACATCAGCATTTGGAAAAAGCAGCCATGGGAAATTAAGGCTGTTTTAAACAATAAAGTAATCTTTCATTAATCAATCAATCAATCAATTTATTTATTTATTTATTTAAAAGCATTTCTTTATCACAGGTCATTTTATTGGGGGGGGACACTTCTTTGTACCTTGATTTAAACATTAAAACAAACAAACAAACAAACAAACCTTGGATATTTTGCATTTGAATGTGAAGCTTTTCAACCCATAAACTAACTTAACAAGAAAGGCTTCCCCTTCCTTCCTTCCTTCCTTCCTCCCTTCCTTCCTTCCTTCCTTTCTTCCTTCCTTCCTTCCTTTCTTCTTTCCTTCTTTCCTTCCTTCCTTCCTTCCTTCCTTCCTTCCTTCCTTTCTTTCTTTCTGTCATATAAGTAGTTCCCATAGAATATTACGGATCTACCACCACTAAAAAATTCCTATGTTTATCTGAAATTATATTTAACTGGATGTCCTTTATCTTTATTTGCTAAAACTGGCAACTCTATGGTCAAATAAAGGGAATAATGATAACCCAGTAATTATGCTTTGCAAGCAACCATGCTTTGGAGAAACATGAAAAATTTACTTCTGTACATGGGCCATTTTAGTATATTTTGTTTGTAATATTTTTCCCCAAGTAGTGAATTCTTTGATTTTTAAAAAAGCTAACCTCCACATAGAGAAAAGTAACATATGAAAGAATTATGATATTAATAGTTTGAATTTATGTAGGACCACATATGGGTAGAATTGAGCAGAGATATTTTCATCTTCTGGATAGACTATGATGCATGTAGATGTTGAATTGGTGTGGAAGTAATCCATCTAACAGAGCTTGGCTCCTGAACAAAGTCTTCTAAGTACGTATCTCCTCAGAGTCATCCAGTCAAGAGGAAATAAGTTTGTAGTATTTTTTTTCTACTGTAGATAGTTATCTAGATGTTAATAAAGAGAGTAAAGGGACTTAGACATTGTGTTTAATAAACTAGGGAGCACAAGGCTGTTTGCTTAGCCAGGAAGCTACAGCTTCACACTCCAGGGGATTATAGTGTTTCTCCACCAAGGGAATTAACACTCCTCCCTTCCCCTCTCTGGTACCGCATTGTTAGGGGGTGCTGGGGAAGGTGCTTGACCATAGAAACATGTTAATTGAGGGGGCATACCCATTATACGCCAGTGAAAACTTGGAAAGTTGATTGGTTATTTTGAAAAAGCTCCGAGTTACAACCCCAGGAGAACAAAGAAGTGCTCTCTCTCAATTGGTGTCCTGCACTCACCTGTTTGTCCATGCATTGTCTCTCTCTCTCAGGAACACACACACAACTATGTGGGTCTATCAGCTGTGTAGGCCAGCAGTAGACTGCACAGGCTCCAAAGGACTAAGGTTTAGTATAAAACAGAAACTCTGGACACTGGCCTTTGTTTTGGCCTTGCTGAAGACAAGATTAAATTTTTTCCATGATGAAATAGACATTGATGGGACATTGGAAACTCAGGGAGCAGCTTCTATTTCCACCTGAATGAACAGTACCTCAAGACCATGCCTCCCGTATGGGTCCCTGGAATGCTTTCCTTGTGATCCCGTGAAAAAACCTGATTTCCACTCACAACAGTATGATTAAGGGATTAACTTTCATCTGTTTTCTTCACCTTGTCACATAATTTAACTTTTCCCTGAAATTCAATTTCCTCTCTGTTTCCTCTCAAACTCACCTCCAGTCATCTTTGGATAAATTTATCAAGACATTCATTTCTTCTTCTTGCATAAGTCGATAAGCTGCACTCACATGGTGATTTTCAAGGACAGATCGATCATTATACAAAATGGCAACATCTGACCTAAGAATTAAAAAGAAAATGCCTAGTAGAGGATTTCTTTAGACTTCATGAGTGTTTAATAAAATACTCAAGTCACAGTACATCTCATCAGTAATATTTCCTCTTTTATTTTACCATATGACTTAAAAAAATACACTTTATTTTTAGAGCATTTTTATGTCCACAGCAAAATGGAGCAGAAGGTACAGAGATCTGCGATATACTCCCTGGTCCCAAATATGCATAGCCACACCTGTTTTCAACATTCCCCACTAGAGTGGAACATTTGTTATAATCGATGAATCTGCAATGACACATCTTTGTCACCCAGAGTCCATAGTTTGCATTAGGGTTCACTCTTGGTGTTGTACATTCTATGGGTATGTACAAATGTATTATGACATGTATCCATCATTATAGTATCATATAGAGTATTTTCACTACCTTAGAAATTATCCATAATTTGCCAATACATCTTTCCCACCTCCTTAACCTTTAGCAACCACTGGTCTTTTTACTGTCTCCATAGTTTTGCCTTTCCATAATACCATATGATAGTGGAATCATATCATATGTAGCCTTTTCATGTTGTTTCTTTCACTTAGTAATATGCATTTAAGTTTTCTCTACGTATTTCCATGGCTTGATAGCTCAATTTTTTTTGGTACTGAACAGTGTTTCATTGACTAGATATATTGGAGTTTATTTATCCATTCACCTACTGAATGATGTCCTGGTTGCTTTCAAGTTTTGGCAATTATGAATAAAGCTGCTATAACTATCTGTGTGCATGATTTTTGTGGACCTAAGTATTCAAACCCTTTGGGTAAATGCAAAGTAGCATGATTGTTGGATCATATGGTAAGAGTATGTTTAGTTTTATAAGAAACCATCAGACTGTCTTCCAAAGTGGCTGTAGCATTTTGCATTCCCACTGGCAATGTATAAGAGTTTCTGTTGCTCTATTTCCTTTCGCGCATTGGTATTCATCAGTATTCTGGATTTTGGTGGTTCTAATAGGTGCATTACAGTGTCTCATTGTTATTTTAACTTGCATACCACTGAGGACAAAAATGCCGTGGAGCTTCTTTTCATATACTTATCTGTCATCTGTACATATTCTTTGGTGAGATATCCATTATGGTCCATTTATTTTTATCAGAATGTCTTCTTATTCAACTGTGTGTTTTAAAAATTCTTTGTATATTTTGAATAGCAGTCCATTATCAAAAATATCTTTTGTGAGGCAAATGTGATAACCACTATACTACGGAAACCACTTGGAAATATCTTTTGTAAGCATTTTCTTCCAGTCTGTGGCTTGTCTTCTAATGTTTTGATACTATCTTTCACAGAGCATAAGTTCTTAATTTTAAGGAAGTTCGGTTTATTATTTTTTTCATGAACTCTGCCTTTTTAATTTAAAAAGTCTTTGCCACACCTAAGATCATGTAGGTTTTCCTCTATTATCTTCCAGGAGTTTTTTAGTTTTTTGTTTTATATTTAAGTTGATGATCTATTATGAGTTTATTTTTGTGAAGAGGTGTAAGGTCTGTGTTTAGATTCATTTTATTTATTTATTTATTTTTGCATGTGGATGTCCAGTTGCTCCAACACAATTAGTTGAAGAGACTCTCTTTGCTCCACTGTGTTGCCTTTGCTCCTTTGTCAAAGATCATTAGGCCTCCCAGTATGATGTTGAAAAGCAGTTGTGTATTTCTGTTATTTCTGGGTTCTCTATTCTGTTCTGTTGACCTGTTTGTCTATCTTGGCTAATACCACACTGTATTTATTACTATAGCTTCATTGTAAGTCTTAAAGTTGGATAGTGTTAATTTTTCAACTTTGTTCTTTTCCTTCAATGCTGTGTTGGCCATTCTGGGTCTTTTGCCACTCCATATAAAATTTAAATCTGCTTATGATACCCACAAACTAACTCACTAGGAGTCTGAGATCGCACTAAAGTTGTAAGTCAACTTGGGAACAGACATGTTGACAATATTGAGTCTTCTTGTCTATGAACATCTACCTATCTAGAGGACTTACCTATGAGGAAGTCCCAAGGTGCATACTTTGAAGGGGACTAAGGTGTCACTGCCCTATGTACAATGTTTCTTTTATATTGTATCTTCTTCAGTTAATGTCTCTATTTTTCATAGTACATGGCTGGGTACATTCCGGACAGGCTTCATATTCTAAGCATTCTCATCTCTGTATAATGGAGCCCGTGCTTCTTTGTTCTTACCCACTTAGGTTGCCAAATCATTCTGAAAATGTGGAATGGAAGCAGAGCCACTGTGCTCAATGTACTAAAATGCTGTACTTATTCATACAAGTTGGTAAGTTGGAGGAAGGCAGCAAAAATAACAAAAGGAAAGTCAAGGTGAAACCTATAGCAACTTTGTTACCATTTTCCCCAACATCAGGCTCCTCTAGCTTTTCCTTCCTCCTGGTAGATCCATCCTCCCTCAGCGCTAAAATTGTTTCATTAAGACTTAGTATTTTAGGCTTTCCAGTGAGTAGAGTCTCTCTTGTTACCTATTACTGACCCTGCCACTGAATGTTTACCAAAGAGTAGGCAAGAACAAATAAAACAAAGAATGAAAGGAACCTGTTCCTATTTGAGATAAACCATGCTTTATAATTACTCCAACATATGGGAAATAACCTATAAGTCAGTAGAATAATTACCTCCTCTTTTGTTTTTAGAACTTCATAAAAGTAGACTAACATGTAGTTAGCCAATTGTACATACCACCAAAATACATTTTCTTTTAATAATTTCAGTTATGGTCTAAAAATTGCTTAGCCAATAATCAAAGCTCAGTACAAAGAAAACTGAACTAGCAAAGCTTACATGTAATCCTTATTTAAGAGAGGATGAAATAGATATTGCCCAAATATCTCCAGAAGTTTGCTGAGATCATGGGAAAAACTGTAATTTGCCAATCAAATATCATTTATATGGCCTCAAATGTAGTCATGGCAGTTTTGCCAGGGTTATTAAAACATGTGGCTCCAAATATCACTGTTTTTACCGTTCACCAACAAGAAAATAATGTGTTTTTGAACTAGTTTTAATTGTAGCAAAGTATGTATAATTTTGTCTCATAAATTGAACAGGATGTTGCAAATACAGCATAGTTTTAATGTTTGAGATGGTCTTTGTTAAAAAAAAGAACAAGACTCTAAGCAACATCCAGTATCCATGGTAACATGAAGCTCAGCATTTTCTTTTCCAAAGAAAGAAATTATTTTTATTTATTTACATTTGTAAGGATTTCATGATTTACAATGTCTCTGTTAAACTTAAAACTAGCCTAGCACTGTGTTTTACATTATTTTTCAATCATTTTTCATTATCCAGTAAATAGGTTTTCATATTCAGAAAGCACTCTAAATCCAAATAACAGTGAATAATATAAATACAGTAGAATCACTGATATCAGTGACATACACACCTGCTTCTCTTTAGACAAAATGTGAGGGTGGCAGAGTTTAAAAAAACATGTTATTTTATTGCATTTGTGGTCACTATAATATTTTTGTTCATAGAATTTTCAAGTTCTTGTAAAATTAACCCATTAAATAATTGATCCAGTAGATAATTTATAAGAAAAAAATAAAATACTAGAAACTCTCCCCTTTTATACAGTTTCTTAACTATAAAAAATAAGCAAAAATGGATTCTTCTTCCTTGTCTTCCTCTTCCTTCTTTTTCCCATCTCTGTCTCCTTCTTTGTGGTTCAAGGTGTAAGTGAATTAGGACTCTCCATTCAGTTGTAAGTCAGTGGTAAAAGAGGACAGCTAGAAGCCTCTAATGCCTCTGCTGGAGAAGGCCAGTCATTGCCTTCACTCTTCACAGTAGAAAGAGCAAGAAGTGTTCATTGGCACCAAGTCAATCACTTGCTCCCTTCTCTAACTCCCAAAATTATTGTTCTATACAGGGCCCAGCTCAGTAATGAGCTGTCTTTAATTAAAATCCCACTCATTATGATTTTGGTGGATGTAGAAGAGTCTTTGATAAGCAAAAATATTATCTGCATGGGCTACCTTTCCTTTGATGTTTACCACAAATAAAACAAAACAACTCTTTATGCTCTGTAAACATTCCTTGCTGCACCAGCTTCAGGGTCTCCCCCTTCCCTTCATGCTCTTTTGATCTGGGAGACTCTGAAAACAAACAGAATACCTTCCTCAATATTTAATTGTTTAAATTTCATCTCTTCTTCTGTCTCCATCAAGGGGCCATGAATTTCTAAGCCCATCCATGTCAGCCTATAACAGATCGTGACAACCACATGCCTGTCTGTGGCCTTGGGAGAAGAGTCGTGTAAGTAAACTGGTTTAAGAGTGAGCATCCCTCTGAGCTTCTCAGCTGTGCTACTGCCAACAGTTGACTGTGCATATAAATAGGTCATTTTGCCTATTTAGATATTTTCATTTTCTTCTAAGACTGTGAGGTTTAGACTAGGCTATCCATAATGTGAATATCAGCCCCTTTAGGGGTCCTTCAAGTTCTAAAATGTTGAATATTGTATAAAAAGTTTGTATGTTCTTCATACATCAAAACAGCAACTTCCTATAACTAGAAAACCTGGTTTTAGAAATTTCTATTAAAAAATAAATGAACAGACCACATAAAACCTGCACATGGATGTTTATAGCAGTTTTATTCCTAAGTGCAAAGATTTGGAAGCGATCAAGATAGCTTTCAATAAGTAAATAAGTAAATAAATTCTGGTACGTGCAGACAATGAAATATTATTCAGTAATGAAAAGAAATGAGCTGTCAAACCATAAACACACATATAGGAGCCTTAATTGCATATTGCTAAGTGAAAGAAGCCAGTCTGAAAAAGCTTGACAGTGCATGGTTTCAACTATATGACATTTTGGAAAAGGCAAAACTAGAGGGACATTGACAAGACCAGTAGTTGCCACTGGTAAAAGAGGAGGCAAAGAGGGCAAAATTAAAAGGTGAAGCAAGGAGACTTTCTGGGCAGTGAAATGAATGTCTGTTACTGCAATGATGGATACATGGCATTATACATCGTAAAACCTTTACAATATGTAACATAAAAAGTAAACCCGAATGTAAACCGTGGACTTTAGTTACTAACAATGCATCAACAATGGTTTATTGATTGTAATAAAGGCACCACGCCACCAGTGCAAGATGTTAACGATAGGAGAGTGTGTAGGGTGTGGGGCAGGAGTCTACGGGAACTCTGTGCTTCCTGTTCAGTTTTCCTATCAACCTAAATCTGCTCTATAAAATAAATTCTATTGGTTAAAAAATGGACAAATAAAAAAATAACTAGGCTTCGTATTCCCCCTCTACAAAAATAGAGAGTTTTACAGTGGTTCCACAAAGACATCACTCTTTCAATTTACATCTCCCTCTTAGGCATCTCTGACTAGTGAAAGAGAAATTTCAGGACCCTATGCACATGAAGTGGGTTGGATTGTGATGAGCCCTCAACCAAATTCTGCCTCCCAGGAGGCCAGATCTCTGTGCAACCAAAACAATTTAGAGCACTTGCCTGTTATGGACTGACTTGCATTCCCTGAAAATTAACATGCGGAAATCCTAACACCCAGTACTTAGAATATGATTGTATGTGGAAATAAGGCCTTAAAAGAGAAAATTGAAGTTAAATGAGGTTTTAAGGGTAGGACCCTAATCCAATATCAGTAGTGTTCCTCTGAAAGGAAGAGGCACCGGGGAAGTTCCCACAGAAATGGCCATGTGAGGGCTGAGCAAGGGGTGGCCATTTACAAACCCGGGAGAGAGGCCTCAGAAGAAACAAAACGCACTGACTCTATGATCTCAGGTAGCCAGTCTCCAGAAATGTGAGAACAGTTTTGTTACCTAAACCATCCAATTTGTGGTATACGGAGAAAGCAGTCCTAACAGACTAATACACTTCCGCTCTAGTATTTTGAATCCAATGACTGCCACTATCACCATTACTTTAAAAATTGCATTTTCAAATTATTTTAAATTTAACATTTCACACTCACCTGGAAGTATGATTTTGATTTCTTAGATTTTTTTCAGAAATGCAATGTTATTATGTATTTTCAAATACATAATGATAACAAACTAGTGCCATAGACAATAAATTGCAAGATTTATCTCAATAAACAAATGCCTGTCTTTTGTGACAGTTCAAGATGTAAATCCTGGCCATAGATAAACTATATTACACATCTTCATGTTCTTTAAATTGCTAAATATGCCACAAAATATATACAAAATTCTTGATAAATAATAGCTGATTGATGGCAGTGTTTACAGCTTAAGGAATTTGGCTAAAATTGATTAAATCTGTCATTATTAGACATTTTCATTATTATTTTTAAATCCTTTTAAAATAAGTAATATGCTGAAAATAAATTTCAAGTTTTAACTTAGAAAACTTAATCTTTTATTTAGCTTACCTTGTCTGAATATGAAAGTTGTTTGTGGTTCCTGTGTGCTCATAGTCATGAATGGCAGCGGCAAAGACCATTGCTAAAATTTCCAGTTCAGTGAGCCAGTGCTAGTGAATTAAAGAAAGATCCCAACATCTTTAGAAAGCAGAGACCATGTTGTCTTTCTACAGAAAAGATTTTCAGTGCACCCAGTATAATTAATTGTAAAGAATTGTTTTACTGATTTTAAATAACGTTTTTCTATTTCACCTCCATTAATTGTGTATAATAATGACTGCTTCATAACATCAATGATTGTTTCAAGTCCTGTAAGTCCAAATTCCAGACATTGTAATTTTCTTTGCTAATTGAACAATAAGTTACTTTCTATGATTTAAAAGGTGAATCCTAATTGGATTTTTAAATTCATAGCCTTACCAATTTGGGTTTCCATGAAATTAACCACAATTAAGTGAATTTTAACATACAACTCATACATAAATAAAATGTCTTTTAGCTCAATGTTTGTAGAAGACCTTACTATGAGAAAGTTTTCCATCTAAGAGTTAAAAATATTCACTTTGTTCATTAGAGGAACTGAACTTAGTTTTTATATTTAAATAAGGATTTAAAGAGTTTCCAAGGACTTAGCAAATTTGTTCTTTGTAACACATATATTCTAAGGCTGTCCAGTTAAACTTAATAACAATGAAAAAACAAATGCTTTCACATAACATCCAGACCACCTTCATGTACACCGACTTTTTCATATGCATTGACCATTTTATATGTATTGACCTTTTTGTTATCAATTGGATGGTTTAGCAAAATTCCACTACTGTTATAAGTCCATTCAGATAATTCAATAGTTTATCACTCATATTTTGCATAGCACTTTTCTTGCACTGTCCAATATAACCAAATGTGATACTTAATTAAAAAATAAAAAAAATTAAATGAACATAAGCCCCCTTTTATAACCATAGTAGCCACCACATTTCAACTGCTCAATAGTCACATGTGACAAGTGGTTACCATATAAAGCAGTGCAGATACAAAGCATTTTCATCTTCACAGAAAGTCCTATCAGACACCACTGTAATTCGGGGATAGGAATGGAGGATCCACAATGACATGAAACTTGCTCTTAGTGGTCTTATTCCATATTCTTGGAATAATTAAAGAACTTGTGCAAAGCAACAGAAAAATACAATAAACTATATGCATACTTGATAAAAGCTCACAAAATAAAGGTGCAATGGAAGGGCAGCTAAAACATCTATTTTGTGGAAGTGGATTTTGGAATTGGGATGGACCAAGATGGGTAGCTAAATGGCAGGTTCAGAGCAGAGAGATTTTAAATAGAAAGGTCAAATGTAGAATGACACCGGAGTGAAAATTGAATTGCCGGTAGTAGAGCTGTGTTGGAGAGTCAGTGACATGGGATTGAAAACCATGCGGAGCATGGGAAAGAGTTGACAGACTGCCTTGATTAGAACCGATGAATTTGATTTTTGTACATAAGGTAAGAGGGAATCCTTGTAGGTCCATGAGGCCAAAAATGAGGGAGGTGATGACTGTTGAGTCTCATAGTTGCCACAGGCATACCCTTATTAATCTTGGCTCCTTTCGCATAATCTGCCATAGCATTGGCATATAGTAGAAACTTAATATTTCCCTGTTGAATTGAATTATGCCAGTATTGCATTAAGAGGAAGTAGCAAGGAGTAGTGGGTAAAGATGCAAAATCAGATAATCCTGGTTTTAAATCTTTGTTAATCCTAAGGTAAATTAGTTATTTTCCCTCTCAGCCACAGTTTCCATGAAAATAGAATTAGCGATCATTCCCCTGTGACTTTTAAAATTTACAGTTAATGTATACACTGTGCCATCATATCTTGTTATATAGTAAAATACAGAATAAGTGGCATTTTACTAAACTTACTACCTTAACTACACTGTTTAAGTCATCAGTCTGGAAAATAATAGTGAGCTAACATCTTCAGTGACTACAGTTCAAGAATAAATGCCTCACAGGTAGATGACTGAAAAAAAGTGTTCAGAACCAAAGGGGTTTGATATAGACAACTAGCTGTTCTGTGTTTATAGGTGCATTTTATTATGAATCATTAAAAGGAAGAAAATGACCTTATTAAAGCATTGTATTACAGGCTGAACTGGGACTGAGCCTCCAATGTCCCTAGTGAGACTGTGGAATTAAGCACCGTGAAATGAATAGCATTTGAAATTAAACCAGTTTTTTTTACTCCCAAAACCCACTGTTTTATTAAAAGACATTGTTCCTAGAAAAAAATCACAAATTTTCTTAAGTATTTCTTATTGGTTATATTTAATATCTACAGATTTAACTGTGAGCTTTTTAAAAAGCAATATCCAATCTTTTATTTACTATAATAATATAGACTATGAAGCTGAAATTCTTTTAAAAATAGAACATCTGAAATGTATGTTAATTACAGATTATCTTATAAGTATTTAAACTTATTACCTTATTAACTGTCAAAATGTGTTCCTGCTTTTGGTCTCACTAATCTCTGTCTCTCATTTATAGTATTTCCTCCATGAATCCTCCTATTTATTGCCACACTATATGCCACACTATTATTATATGTCACATTATTATTAGTCTTAATAATAAAGTTTACATTATAAAATAATTTGGGAACAAAGAAACACTGAGCTTTAACATTTAATTAAAAAATACTTCTATTTTGTATTAGTGAGAGTAGAATTTTGAGCTTATTTTTAGCTTCTTAGTTGCCAATTCATTTTATGCTGGTATCAAATGAGAATTCTAACTTAGAAAATGGATGTTTAAATTAATGGATTTTGTAAATGATTCATGAGGACAAGCCAGAGAAAATGTGGTTGAATCATATCACTCTTCCCAACCTCAATGGTGATCAGTACATTCTAGGTTCTTCTGATTTCTGATGATAAAGGGTTAAAATGATGAGTAATAAGCAATACAACACCATGCTTCATCTATACCACATGTTGTATTTTGCCTAAAGAAATGCTCAGATGGTCTTACCCTAAAATGGGAAGTCGTCAAATTATGTTATAGTGAACTATGGGTGCCATTAATAGCATGTGTGATGATGACAGATGGGATGGAAAAAGAACTAACATTAACTGAAAATCTTAATTAGAGGGTGTCATTTAATTTTTTTACCCATCCTATACACCATTTACTAGCTAAGTATATTTATCCCTATTTGGCAGATAATAAAGCTGAGTCCTAAAGAAGTACATCAATTTGCTAAAGGTCACCCAGTTCCCAAGTGACAGAGCAGTGATTCAAAACAAAATCTTTCCAACTCCAAAGTTCTTGCTCCTTCCACAGATCACAGTATTTCTCTATGGATGACAATAACGTTCATTACTCAAGAAACAATATGCTGAATACATTCTTCTAAAGTTTCAAAAGCAGAATTTCTAGAAATTTAACCGGATATATTGATGAGTAAAAGTTGATAGAGCTTTGATTTAAGATGTTATGATGCTATTTTTGTAGCTGAATTATTCAGTCTGTGTGTGTGTGTGTGTGTGTGTGTGTGTGTGTGTGTGTGTGTGTTTGTATGAGAGAGATAAAGTATGTATATCTAGGTCTGGGATAATTTCAGGTCAGGAAATCACATTGACCTGAAACTCCTAGTGCATCCAAAAGACAGTAATTAACAACTCTTTTATCCTGAATTATAGGGCTGGACACTATTTTTTTTCTCTATGCTTTTGAGTGGGCTGAGATAGTTTGCTATAACTTATTTAGTATAGAAAGTAAATATATTATAAGCAAATATTAATACAATAAAATTAATACATAATACATATAATTTAATATACATAATATAATGAATAATTTTACTAATATTAGCATATGTGCTAATAGCTATTATATTTCAGGAACAAGGTGAGGTACTTTACATATATGATACCATTGACTTCTCATTGTCATTCTAGAAGGTGTTCGGTGTTAACCACATTTTAGTGACAAGAGAACCAAAGTAGAAACTGAACAAGCTAGGAAGTAGGGGGACAGGGTTTCAAACCAATGTATGATTGCTTTGAAAGCCCACACTCTTTGTGTTCTTGCAATATTGTCTGCGAAGCCATTTATAAGAACGGAATTGCCACATAGTTTGTGGAATAGAGACATAATGGCAAGTTTTCTGTAGATTGAAGAAACATTGAGTCATTTCAGTGTATGGGAGGCTATTTCTGACTATAGCAAGTCGACTACAAATTCCAAAGGAAAATAGAATTCAAGTCATATCTTTTTCTTCTACTCTTAGTGTTACTGAGAACACAATGCCAGGGGTCATCAAAGGCAAGTGTTCCCTTGCCAGGGCCCCGGTGATTTCTTATTCAAGGAGGCATCTGGAGGCGGTTCCGGAGCACTCAGTGAAGCATTTGCTCTTTAGCAAATGGACTAAGCTACCCATACCATTGCCACTGTGGCAAAGGGTTACAAATTAATTCAGGGACAAAAGAGTGTGGGAGACAAAGGGTGTCATAGCATCAGTCTTCTGCTTTGCCTACTCCCAGACCGCAGGATGTCTGCATGACATTAACAAACTGAAGGACAATAGCTTCATCACAGTCCCTTTTAGGCAATAGTCCTCTGAACATTTTGCAAGTGACAGGCTGCATTAGTCCACCTGGCAGTGTTGGGCTGCCTCTGGAGGGCTCCATAAATGTCACACTGATAAGACCATTCTGAAACGGCAGGGCATCAGCTAGAACACTAAAGTGATATTTTATAATGCTTTTTATTGTAAAAAACAAACACACTTATGTGTATGAGAATTAATACTTACATCCCATCACTTTTTTCAGCTAAACACAAGTTTTTTAAAAATAACTTTCCAAAAACCTGTAAGCTGGCACTATGACCTAGTTATGACAAAATAGTCAATAAATCTGTACATTTATTTTGCATTTTCTTTCACCATCTACCATAACATTTCTTATTACTTCCTTTAGTTTAAATGTATTTTCCAGATCTAGGGCAACACTGAGTCTCCCACCAAGACTATTTTGTTTTTTTATAATGGCCAAAGTCAGAGATAAGCAAAGAGCCCTCTGATACTGTTTTGCTGAAGGATAGTAAAATCATAAACAAGCTTTCAAATCAAACTTGCTGAAGTAAAGTTATATTTACAATTAGTAAGTCACTGTCCTCTCAAAAAATGACTGTGTAATCTTTGCTAATAACTTCAACATTCTAGGACTCATGCGAGACTGAGTCAGATTGCCTTAGTCTCCCACAGAAGTTGGCATGGCTTGTTATAACCTGGAACAAATCTTCCTCACAAGTTTGAGGGTAAATTCACATTGTGTATTTGAATTTCTCTATTTACCCACTAATATAACATCCTTCGTCTCTTCAATGTCACCTTCGGAACAGAGGTTCTGAAGCTGAAATAGAACACTTTTATTTAACTCTTTACATTTGTGACCAAAAAAAAAATGCACTTAAGTAGAAACATACTTTAAAAATCCTGGCTTCCCCCCACCTAGCTGAAATGATAGATGTCTTCTCATCGCACCTCAACTTTTCAAAAAAGATTTTATTTATTTATTTTTAGAGAGAGGAAAAGAGGGAGAAAAAGTGGGAGAGACACATCAATGTGCACTTGCCTCTCACGTGCTCCCTACTGGGGACCTGGCCCGCAGCCAAGGCATGTGCCCTGCCTGGGAATCTAACTGGCGACCCTCTTTTGCAGGCCCACGATCAATCCACTGAACCACACCAGCCAGGGCAGCACTTCAAAATTTAGGCAGATTTCTTTAATACCAAAGTATGCATTACTTTTCTATTCCATCTTGTTCTGAGGAAACTTAGTTCAGTTTTCATTAAAGAGTGACTCTTAAATGTTTCATTTTTCAGTTAGCTTTTTCAAAACCACAGAATATTGGTAGAAGGAAATGCCAAGTACGTGATATGTATACCACCTCAAGACCAGATTCAAAACTAAGGCCTTAGAAAGAAGAAAGTAAGCAGCTCTAACCAGGAAGATGTTAAAGCAACTTTTGCAAGTCTAACAACATTTGCAGCTGTCAGGGGGCGCTCTGTTTACCACATTAAATGCCATGAACGTCAAACCAAGTGAAAGCAAATAGTTCAAGAAACAGCTGTGACAATAAAGCCCTTTCAACCAAAAGGCCTTTAAAAGAATTTCTGTGTGTGAGCATTTGTGTGTGTGCACATGCACACTTACTAGAAAGAGAAACAGGTATAAAGAAGGTTACGTTTACTACAATGAAAAACACACTTTTTGAAAGTTATATTTTTTAATGTTTCAGTTTCTTATTATTGGTAAGCTCTATTCCCTCCCTTTAAATGTCAAATAAGAATCTTGGAATGAATGGTGAATAAACTCAACCAAGGACCAAGTCTGGCTATGGCTACATTTGTTCTAACCCAATGGGCACATTTACATCTTAGTTGAGTGATTCTTGCACATACAACTTAAAACAGGAAAACACAATGTACAAGGTTAAAAACACATACAGTTCAGGCATCTAGAAGGTCACAAGAGATTCATGCCACTGCATGAATGAAGGTTTTTGAGATTTTTGCCTCGCTCCAAACAGGGCTTAACTCTAAATCAGGTTATATTACTTTGTAATCTTGTCATAAAAAGGCACATTTCTATTGAATTGGTGGTGAAATGCCAACGAAATCCTTTAATGAAAGTGTAGCTGAGCTCCCAGCCATTAGCCATTGTCAACTGTCAGCTGTGTGAGTGAACCACTGTGGCTGTCTTGCCTACTGATGTCCTCAGATGTCTTCAGCCATGGTTACTAGCTGATGGAATCACAGGAAATACCCCCAAGGGAGAAGTTTCTAGTTGGGACCCTTCTAACCAAGGCCCTTGAGAGATATGAATAAATTATCATTTTAAGCCACTAAGTTTTGAAGCAGTTTGTTATGGAGCAAAAGGTAACTGGAACATGGGGCAGGAGTGGGATCTGAGCCTAAGGCACTGATGGAGCTGCACCATTTTGAAGACAAAGAAATATGGAGAAAAAAGTAATTTCTTTAGTTATCACAAGACACTACTGGATGAATCATAGCAAATGAGTAGGAAACAACACACTACAGTTTCTTGGGGAAAAATAAATAATGATGAAAATTTTCAGTATACAATAAACGTGGTGAATTAGGTACCGGTTATAGGTTTTCAAGATCTTCAGGGCAACCTACTGTGTGTGGCTCTAGGGGCTTTGCTTGGCACCAGGTTAGGAACACAGTCGCTGGTTTAGAAAGATGCTTATTGAGGATCTCTGGGCCCCCAAAGAGTGTCAGTTACATAGGTGTGAGTACCAGAAACCCTGCTAATAGAAAGAATGCGACTTCTGAATTCTAAACAGGAAGGCAACACATATCATGGTGTTTGGTGGAACATTCTCCTTACATTTGCTTTATGACACTGCTTTAGCCTAGGCTGACCTATGAGGGATCAAGAAGGTACTAAGATTTGGGGATCTCATATGGCCTATGCCCCCTTTGAACCCACCTCAGTCTGGAACCTTCAGAAGAGCTGCCTCTCTCTCTTCACCTTCTGGGAGTCCGCCTGAGTTCGGAGACATTACAGAAACTCCAGGCAGGCCCATGGTTCCTGTCCTCTACTCCTTCTTGCCCCAAAATTTGCCTTGTTAAATCATGTATTTATTTATTCATTGATTCACTCAAATGCAAAGAAGAGGAAGAAGCATTTGGAAAAAATTCACATGAATACTTTCAGGATTTGATTGTGATTTGCAATGTATGTAAACGAGAAGAGGTCATCTTGGAAGAATGTGATAATTTGAGGGGAGAGCACTGTAACTAACATTTATTCCAAACACTTTTTCTCTAGGTCCCTTATTTTTATTTTTATTTTTTTTGGTTGATTGCTTTGGGAAAAGGAATTTACAGACAAAAATATTCTATAGTCTAAATTTTGGAAAAGTTACAGTATATTTTCATTTGCCTCTGCATATCTTTTTTCTTTTACTGAGTTAAAATACTTTTTGAAAAATATACATTATGGATAACTCATTAACCCTCAAAAATCCAAAAGATTATTATTTATAATACTTCTACCAGCATTAAAGAGATAATAAGAACTCAGAGGAACAGAATTTGATGTTCCAAACAAACTTCAGTTACAAAGCCTTTCTTACCATGATACCTGTATGAAGCATTATGTAATGCACCGTTTGAGTGACATCAGCTGCGTGGATCAGGTTGTGATAAGGGTTTTTGTACTTGCTGTAGCCAACTTCTAAAGCTTCTGCAAAGGCAATTAGGCAAGAAACAGGAATCTGCAGAAAGTAATAATTATAATTATATTTTACCAAAAGAATAGCTCTAAATCAACATGAACGCAACAATTTTGGGGAGAAGATACAGCGAGTCAGATGCAGTCAGTAGTTTCTTAAAGTTCAACGTGGACTGTTCTGAAAAACCACTTCATCAACCTGTTAGCTTTCAGTCCTGAGAAGGATGATAACCCCTAAGTGTTTAGCTAAGGTAGATGAAATAATAGTCTTACCCATACTTTAAATGTTTATATCTTCCAGAGTCAAGTCAGAAGGCTAGTTCTTAACAGGGTAAAATTTCCCAATTACAATTGGTGAAGTCTAGTTTTTCTATCTGTAATACAAGGCATTAAAATAAATGACCTCCCAGTATCTACAGCTCTAAAAATGTCATGATTCCATAGGTAATGATGAAAGGTACAGCTGCAGAGAGCTCAGAAATCTGGATCAAATCTGTTGTTTAAATGGCTCTAAATGAAGTAAATTGGAAACCTTTCCATTTTTGTTGAAGTAAAGCTGCCAGTAAAGGTTCATTCTGTGTCAGGAACACAGAAGATCATATTGCTTTAAAACATAGCTTTCAATCTCTGCCTGGCTATTCTGTAATTCAGGGGGATGTTGGTATCTCATGTGAATGAAGTTATAATGGTTCATGATATCCACGTGGACACCTAGTTATGTCAGGGAGTTGGGGAGGATGGCTGTATCATGTGATAAACTCATCCCTCTACTTCTGTCACCTGTCAACTAGAAACATTATAAAATGCATAGATTAATGGCTTGATGTTATGCATTTTCATTGTCATTCAGATAACAAATTCTAAGAGCATTTCACTTTTATTTCCGGTTTCTGACCTTGAAACGGTTGATAAGATCGTATCTGGTAAACAGTTCATAAATCATAAACTTCAGACTATGTTCTCCACTTGCTTCATTTAAGGCAAATACATCAAAAGACCATTTATCAACTTCCTGTAGAAAAAAAAAGAGTAAATACTTTAGGTAGCAAATTCATATGGTTTTGTTTCTTTCTATGAAAAATTCTTGGAAAGACGAGGCATCCTGCTTCCGGGAGGCCAAATTTCAGTTCAGCGCATTAGACTATGCAGCGTGTGTAGCGACAGCGCTGCTATGATCCGTGGGTCCACAAAAGTGAGGTCACAAGGCCTGTTGTAAGGCTTAGATCTCCCCCTTAATTCCAAGGTTAACAAATGATTTAATAAACCTGATAACACTTTCATACTTCCTAAATCGCTTTCCAAATTTATACCCCAAATTATTTTCCAAGAGTCAGCCTCATTTTAGAGTAGAAATGCCGGTTATGTAGGTGATATTCATTGAGGGATAAAAAGAAAACAGCCCCAATTTCTCTTTCCCACCCACCCACTTGTTACATTGCTTGAAATTCCACCATAGGAGTTAGTAATTTGGTTTAAATTTTTGATATCTTTATATCTTCTTTTAAAATGCAAATACCCTAGAGAGAGTATATACTACCTTATTACTCACTCTAACCTTGGCTGATTCATTTCCTGCAGGGAAAGAAGGTAAGAGAAAGGAAATAAGTCTCTTGATTGAGGAGGATGATAGTAACTTTGGTATATCCTTGGGGAAGTGGTCAGGCCTGTAGGAGAAGAGGTGCTCTAGAAAGTGCCCCTTGGTCCTGCCTGATTTTGCTTAAGGAAAATCCAGGGCAAAATCTTGCAGAGGAGTCAGTCCATAAAATGGACTTGTAGCAAGTGATACCGGTTCCATACATCCTCAGGGAGGTTTTAATGTAAAGTTTGAGCTCCAACACTAAATAAATCACTGAAATAAATAAAAAGCAAACTTAAAGAAATACAGCAGAGCCGGTTCTAATTGATTATCAGAACCTATTAGCAAAGAAGGTCTGATTACATACATTGCAGGTTTAATATTGAACAGTAAGTGTACAACTTTAAAGCTATGCATTAATTTTGAATTTGAGAAGGCAATGTTTAGAGCTTCACTCATATAACACATTTATATGGAGGTCAATTGCCTGTGCTGCAACATGCTGAAACTAAACTGAAAATCTGATTAAAAAAACATTCAAACAGTCTCTTTTTAAAATATTTCTTTTGAAAAATAGTAATAATAACTTTAAATGGTCTTTTTAATCACTTGGGAACACCAATGAAATATTTATTGAATTACTTGTAAACCCTTTGTTAAATTCCTTGCACTTTGCCCTAATTTGATCCCTGAAACTTGCTTTTTCTGTCAACTGAAAATGTCTAAAATTTCTGTTAGAAGGCTTTTACCATCAGTAAAGCTCAAAGGATGCCAACAAATCTTTTATCAAATTCCAATGTTAACAAGGAAAAATTGGTTCAAATTGTTACAGACTGCTATTTACAGTTCCCACTAGGGGTTTCCCACTGGGTAAAAGGTTAGTTTTCCATTTCTTGGGGATTTTCATCAACAATGATGATTATATTTGTAAACTAGTGCAGATGCTTGGCTTTTACATTGTCAGATTGAGAACAAAAAAGATAAGGAGGCATCTCAGGAAATAATAATTATTTAAATAAAAATATTCCTTAGTAGTTCTTCCCTCAACCTTTTAGTTCATTTGTCTTATCTATATTAAATTTCAGAAAAAACATTCACATTCTCTCATACCTAAATATTTTGTTAGATGGTTCCTAAGCAAAAGTTCTTAAATAAAATAAGTAATTCTTGTATATTTTCCCATAGTTGATGAAATCAAAATATCCCAAGAGCTGAAGAGTAATTAATATCCTATAATGTGACATTTCAGTTATATGATAATTGTTATATTAGCTTTAGAAACATAAATATAAAAAGCACCTAAGAAAAATGAACTACCTTTTTAAGTTAATAAGATTAAAATCTAATATGCAGCAGAGAAAAACCAAATCAAAGGGGATACAAAAAAGAAAAGGACAAAAGAAAGAAATATAAATTTAAGCTAGCAAAGTAATTTAATACATTTAAATTCTTAGTACAAGTAAACCACCATGAAACTTAAAGACAAAGGTGAAATTCCTCCACCTGAAGTAAGTCATAGAAAGAAATAAGGAATGTTGAATGATGAGCCTTCAACATGCTTCTGTAGAAATAACAGCTATGAACACACACACGTGCACACACAAACACACACACAGTGGAGTGAAGTAACCAAGCAAGCCATAAACTTTCCTCTTCGGTTTTGACTGTAGTTATTTCTAACTCATTAAGTACTTTAATATTACAAATGGGCATCAGACTAGAGCAGCCATAGGAAAAGCAGAGACAAGAAAGATAGATATTTTTGTTTTCTTTCTTAATTTTATCTTACTTTTTCTATTTTTCAAACCTAAAATTCTAGACAATTTCTTCCATGTAAGTTTTGTTTTTTAACTATATTTGATGGAAACATCTTTTTATAATATATTTTAATTTTCCATAATATGTACAAAAGAAAAATATGCACATTCTGACAAGTTGTGCTTCTGTCTTAAAACTGAATTCAAGACAAATAAAGCATAAAGAAGAAAAAATCACATGCGTGCGCACACATGCATGTGCATTGATACAGATTTTTTTAGAGTAAATCAATCCTCAATTACATCTACAATGAGTCATAATTTGGAACACATAACATTTTGTAAAATGGTTAAAATATTTTTTACATACCAATATGTAAGCTGTAGCAAAGACCTATTCTCATTTTCTCCTGGCCATTTTAAGAAGATTTTTCTTTTAATGACTATTTGAAAAACTAAAATAATTGAAATTATTTCACCTTTAATGTTACTATGACAGCTTCTGGATATGCCAAACCAACCATGTGATAGGACTTTCTGTACATCCTAAAAAACAAAAATAAATATATATAATATGTAACAGTACTCAAAGTTTTCAACTATTTCTTAAATATAAGGGAAAAATAACTTTTGATTAGTTCACCTTTTATCATTAATTACATGCTGCCTTTGTGACAGTAACTATAGCCACCATTCATAAAGCATCTTTATGTAACAGATGATAAAATTATTCTGTTTACTCATGACCACCCTATAAAGTCGCTGTGATTGTAGTTTTAGGTAAAGACATCTCTGCATTAACTTCATCTTATTAAAGGGGGCTGTCCTCTGGATATGCAACAACAGCATTTCCCAGCATGTCACCATATTGCTGGCAGCAGAATATTCTTGTTTGGTGTCCATTTATACAACAGGATTTTCAGTCTGGAATTTGAAAGTCATTAAAATATTTCTCTTACAGGTTTTTCCTACAAAATAGAAACTATAGGAGGGAATACATAGCATAATGAGAATTTTCAGGGGTTTTTTTAAGTTAAAAATATTGGGGAAACAGTATTAACAAAAATTGCTTGTTTGTTCAAATCGTCATTTAACATCATTTAAGAAAAATTATACAGAAATACAAAATTATTTCTATTCCAATAATAGCATAAATAACAAATATATTTTTTAATCAGGAATTTGTTGGATTTTCCCATCTTTTGATGGGCAACCAAGATGTCCATCAAAGAACAAATATAATAAATTCTCCCATCGAATCATATGAGAATAGAATCAATGTGATGCCATAATGTGTAGAAATAGCAATAAACTTCTATTCTATGCATGGTTCCTCCACAAAATCCTGGAAATAAATAATTTAACTGTTTATTAATTATGTACATTAATTTTTATATCAATGCATAAGCAAACTGCATTCCTAGACTATATCAACTATAAATTCTCCCCCCAAAGTGCCTAGAAAAAAATATGATTATATCATTAATTTATATTAGGTTTCAATATAAAAAATAGCCATTTGGAATATATTTTGCATCTTCTATAAAATCACTTTGGAAGATATTAACCTTTTGATTAATTTATATTATGTTGAAAATTTATGACACATTACTCAATTTTTATATAAAAGCTATCTTTTAAAAAAGATAATAAAAGCCAAGTAATTCATCATGGTTTCCTTTTAAACCTTGACTTCTTGGGATATCAGAATTAAAATATTATTTATGTATACCCTTACCCTAGGTTTTTTGATAAAGCATCTCCCCATTTTATGACAGACATTACTTTCGTGTTATGTTTATTTGAAATGAATTTAAGTAATTTTTGGATGTGGGTGATCAGTTATAATAACAAAATTACCCAAATTATTTACTCTGTTGGAAAATTTCAGAGCAGTTTATAAATAAAAATATTATACTCATTACTCCATTGAAATAGGAATAATTATTCTAATCTTTCAAAGCAAGAAAATTATCAATCACACCAGAAAATAATTATTGTCAGCCATATTTATTAGGATTTCTTTTATTTATTTGAGGAAACAAGTAGTCTTTTCTATCCATGTCTCTAATAATTATTACTAAAAAAAGTGGAAGTACAGGGGAAACAGAAGGATGATAGACAAAGGAAAAAAGGTCAATATAAAATCAATAGGAATAAGAAGTTTTAAAAATTAACATTACATGAGTTTGATTTAGTGATGCAAAAGGCAGTACGATGTAGCCAAGAAAATATGTGCTTTGAATAATAGGTTAGCCACTCTTCAGCTGTGTGTGACCTTTGGAAAAGTATTTAATGTCACTCACCTGTGAAATCAGAATAATTATAAGATTTTTGTGGAGAGTACATGATATAAATGCCTAGCACAGTATAACTAGTACTCAATACAACAAAGTCATTATTATTATTAATATTACTATTCTCATTACTCTGCAGCCAATGCCGCTGGCTCCAATTCTCAACATTTCACCGGGCTCCCTGGGTGCAATGGGAACTCTGGTGCTATTGAGTTTCTTAGACTTGCAGCAGGTTAAGAAATAAATGTCAGCATATATTCTCATTACATGGAATGTAAAGAATGACAAAAAAAAAAAAGGATTCTCTTTCCAAATTGATAGAGAAATTTTCCCATTATCATTTTCTAATCTTATAATTGGACATAAAATATTGAGATAAAAAATTAGAAATAGGAAATTCAGATGAGTCATCCTGGAATCAGAATGATGGGAAAAATTAATACAGTTGTCTCACACTGGAATAGTTGATATATTACAAATTGCTGAAGCACAGTAATGAATTTCCTGGGCTCTTACAGGTGGTAAAAGTCCAGCTGGAAATAGGGCGGATTATTTTTGAAAATTTTGTCTGTTGTTACAAAATATAATTGAACGCTTAAAAATAAAAACTATTTATGCCAGACACTGTGCTAGGGTACAGATTATATAGTGGAGAACAAGAAAAATATAGTTGCTACTTTCATGGGTTTTAGTCAGTGGCGAAGGGGAACAATGAATAAGAAAGTGATGACTAGTATACAGAGAGACACGGAAAGGCCTCTGGAAAGGTAACAAGGGCCAGTCAGGAGAAAGGGTGGAGAAAATCACTCACGTAGAGGCCAAAGCAGGATTAAGGGCCTCGACGTAGTAAGGAGTTTGGGAGTGTTCACGGAGTTGAAGTCAGACTGGTATAGATACTCAGTTGAGAAGGTAAAAAGGGGGGCGGGTGCTAATCCTGTAAAGCCATGATACAGAAATTGCCTTTAATACCAAGGGAAAGGCAAAACCATCAGATAATTTTAAGCTTCAGATTTCCAGGAACTAATTTATATTTAGAACAGAATGGTAGAATGACATGTTTGGAGAAAGCACATTATCGTCCTACTTCTGACGGCAGATAATGAAGGCTTACATTGGAGTTGCAGGAGTGGAGATGAGAGAGTGAACAGATTCAGGCTGCATTTGGGTAAGTGAACTGCCAGGCTTGCTGAGGTACTGAATCTTGAGGAAGATGCTTAAGAGAAGCCTCAAGAAGACTTTCTAACTTTTAAGATTAGAATGATTATTTTTGAAAACTCAAGATAAACATATCTTATGAACTTACAGTTTTTATGAACTTACTAATGGGGATTCAAAGATACTAAGATTTCTTTCCCAAATGTTTGTAGCACATTGATTTCTTCAGGGCTGCTTACTAATTTAGTTACCTTACATACATTTTGGTATTTCTATAGGCTAGCAAATAAAATATTTTGGGTGGCACATAAAAAATACAGCATGTCGGTATATTTAATAGAGTTCCTCTTAATCTTTTAATGAATGGAAACAGAAATTTATTTGATTTACTTCCACAGTTTGCATTTCTTTTCAATTTGCCAATTTCTGTAGTATTTTCTGAAACAAAAAGGACAAAATATACATTGCTTCAGTAAAACAAATACTCTCCCTGTGATTTTCTCAATGGCTTTTGAACTACTACTTATATATTTTCAACCTGATATTATGAAAAAAATTAGTAACTATCACCCTCCTGCCGAAGTTGTTTTTAAATGTTGGAATATGGTCGTAGGAATTCTCTCTCTCCAGCCCCACCTCCTTGGTTTCAGACTGCCAGTGCCCTCTGGCAGAGCTGCGAGCAGTTCATGCAATAAGGGCATGTCACTTCACCAAACTAATCAAATCTCTTATTATGAAAGTTCTTCTATGAAAACCAATTAGATATGACTCATAAATACTCAAAATAATTTGAATAGCCATTGGCTGTTATTTTGGGTAACAGGCACAAGCCAAAATCCTAGAAACTTTATGTGCTGTGGTTATAACATATCTTTAAATCACATCGAATACTTTTTTAAAAAAGTTTTTATTTTTCAATTATAGTTTATATACAATATTATTTTGTATTAGTTTCAGATGACACATTGAATACTTCTTGCAATGCATTCTCGTTTTCATTTTTGGAAGCCTAAGTCTGCTTCCCATTCTTCCCTTAACAGAAGACAATTAAAGTGTATAATATTTATTAAAGGTAATGACTGGAGATATCAGAAAATTTTTAAAAATGATATAGTTCTTCTCAAATTTAAAGTACATTCACAAAAAATTTCTCTGTTCCTCAGTTTTATTAGTCTCAAAAATTTTTAAATAATCTTTTTCTATATGTAATTGTTTTTTAATCTAAAGAATAACTAGCTTTAATTGTCAGATGTAACATGTTTATTTCAAGTCTTTTTGTAGTTATAGTTTTGGAACATCTTATTTCCTAGACAGAAAAAGAAGTTGTGCTTTTGAGGCATAGCAGAACGCGAAGCTGGGTCATGTTAACGTGCGTTCCACAGGAGAAACTCTGGTGCTTTGATTCAGTGCTTCCAGGAGCCATCAAGAGTCCCTTGCACCAGTGACAGAGATGTTAAAACAAAATCCTTCAAAAGTGGACATAAGACAGTTTTCCTCCTATGATGAAGAGAGAACGGTCTTTAGTGCAGAGGAAGGCCTGCTTGATTTTGGTTTGGAGTGTAGAATAGAATTTATTTTATAAGGTGTTACAATTCATTCAGATAAAATTAGTTGTGTAACACATGAATGTGTTTTAATGGTTTTTAAACAGTTACTCACAAAAGTTCATTTGAGGTAAATGATCCTTCAAAAGCCAAAAGCCTTTGCCTTTGGTCTTTATGTCAATTTAAAATAAATAAAAATAATAATCCAAGATAGGAAATTTTTGTAGAGGTAAGTTAATCATAAAGTCCTAAATCTGTTCATTCTAGGTATATTTATCATTACAGTTTTCCTCAGTAAGTGAGATATAGGCTCCCATAACTTTGATATAATAAGTTATCTGCCTTTCAAATTTTGTCTTGAGATACCAGAAATTTCACATACCTTTCCACAAAAATTCCAGCTTGAACAGCATGCACAATGCTCCGAAATTTTGGTTTTTCCTCAGATTTCTTTTTCATCATCCCCATTTTTCGCGTAAAGGTAGAGGCCAACCAGTCCCGGACTTCCAATGGGACCGAATCTGACTGAATGTCACTGAGCTCATCATCGGTATCCAGCAGTCTTCTACAAAAATTTATATGAAATTTAAAACTTTAGGAAAAAGTTAAGAAAATATAAATAAAATAAGCATTCAATAGGATTTAAAACATACAAATCACTTTCCGATCATCCTTTGATATAAACTATTTAAAAAAAGAAAAATGATCGGGTTAACATTTGGAAAGCTCTACATTTCTCAAGTTGGTCTTCTTCTCAAGGTAAGCACTTACGGGTTGAGCATTTACAGTTTCCCAATCATTTAAGCACGATGATAACCAGTCTGGAGACATCAATTGTTCTATCATTAATAAACTACTGTAATGATGAGCAAAACTAAGATGAGATTGGGAAGAAGGCCATTAACAGACGTCTACTATTAAAAGAAGCAACTGGAATGGAAAGGAAAAAAAGGGGTTAGGAGCCATCACAGTTGTCTTATATTTAATAATCTTGTGTACATACTGTCTCAATAAGGCCTTGGGGTTTATAAAAGTCATTTATGTGTATTATTTCATTGGTATCGCTAAATTTTAGGAAAATTATAGCAAGAACTCTAAGAGATATTTATACTGATATATCACAGATTTAAAAAATGAAAAAAATAAAGAGAAAAACCAATGGAGTATTTTGAAAACTCATTTTAGGTGACCACACCAGAGTACATGGAAGGGAAACACCTCCAGTTAAGAGACGCATCCGTCTTCCTGGTGCAGAGCCAGGGTGGGGGGCGCTTTAGAACTACTGACTCAAAAAAACAACTGAGGGAGGGAGGAAGTTAACAGGAGCTGAAACCATTGCACTGCCACTCTCCTGTATAAGCTCCCAATGGACAACGTTGATGACTTTATTGCTGTTATGTCCTAAACTTATAACAGCTGTCGTTAAGGTTGGTCAGCTGCAGTAATCCAGAACTTCCTAAGTGTCTAACCTGGCAAGATAGTGTGAAAGGCTCCCCACAAAATACAAAAACAGCTTTATGGAGCAATCCAGCTTTGCCTCCAGGAAAAACGCAGGCCAGCTCTGCCTGTCGCTTGATTTGGTTATTTCCTTGTTAGTGCACCAATTTAATAACTTAGCTATTTTTGGCACATTTCAGATTTGACCTGTGGGTTCCATTTGCTTTGGTAAATCTCTTTGCACTGAGTGACGCCTAAAGATTATGAGCAGATGGAAGAAAGGTAGCCAGAGATGATAGGCAGCGTGTGTTAAATTGTCCAGAACAAATCGCGTACCACCTCGAAAGGACAGGGACCAAGGAAAGGGCAAAAAAGTAGGGAGCCTACCCAAAGCACCCAATACTACCAAAAAGAGGCTCAAAAGATAATATCACCTCCTCTACATGTTACCATTTTCTAAAAACTTTCAGAGGACCATCATTTGCCAATATTTATTTCTCATGGAATTAATCATGAATGCATTTATGAAATAACTTATGAAAAAATATACCAACTAAAGTACTAGAGTTATAAAGCTACAAATATACATATGAAGACAAGAAAGACTTAAATAGTTGGAAGTTAATACTGATTAATACTTACTTTATAACATTTTTAACTTTCTTTTTGGTCTTAGGTTTGGGTGATTTTGATTTACTCTTCCTACACTGACATTGTACCTCAAAGCAAAATATTTTTTTCCCCCTTCTGTCCATTTTAAATTAGATTCCTTAGCCAGTTGCAGCAAGATAGTACACTTCATGGTTTGGAAATTTCAGAGCTTATGCCATTTCTATTATTTCTTATGTAGTCATTAAATAAGACCACAGAGCAGAACATGTGGAGTGGGGACCATTGTGGTGTAATACGATGATGTCACCACACCCCAAGAATTCTACTGCTGCCTTATGTCATCAATTAATCCAAGTAGAATGACAGACAATAACTCCTTTGAGGTTGATGAGTTTATGGCTATATGTCCTAAATTCATAAATTATCCCACCTAGGTTATCAAACATGACAAAAATCAGCATATGGAAATAAGAGTTCACATAGAGATGTGTTGGTGCTCAGGGACCTGGCAATCCTTAGTCATGAGGCATGATGTCACCTACTGAGAAGGAAAGAGCATATATCTTGGGGAGAAAGAGTAGTATGTATTAATTAGTGGATATAGGAATAAGGGAAGATTATGTGCAAAGAGAAAAGCATGGAATATGCTATTTTATACCTAAAATGCAAATCTTGAAAAAGCAACAAATACCTTTGTGATAGCTAGTTTTATATGTTAACATGGCTAGGTTATAGTTCCAAGTTATTTGGTCATAGGGCAGTCAAGATATTGCTGTGAGGTATAATTTAGATGTGATTAACATTTTGATCACTGCACTTGGAGTAAAGCAGATTACCGCCACAAAGTCAGTGGGCCTTATTCAATCACATAAATTTAATAAGATGGAAGAGATAAGATGGAAGTCTCCCAAAGAGGAAAATATTCTGGCTCCAGACTGCCTTCAGGCTCAATATTGTAACATCGATCCTGCTATAATTCCTAGCCAGCATCAACCTGCTCTGCAGATTCCCACTTTGCCAGCCGCCTGCAATCATGTCAGTCAGTTTCCTTGAAACAAATCTCTCTCTCCCTTCATTGCCTTTAGATTAATATAATTTACATATAATTTAAAAGACCAAGAATCATTTGATCGGTCAATCTATTTATCTATCTATCATCTATCTAAAGAAAGAATATTTTCATCATTCATGAACATTATATGGCAACTACCAGCAGGGTTATAAGTCAGATAAAGGCACAATTCTGTACTATATTAATATTCATTTAATAGAGCATACCAATCCTAAAATTTCTGGTTTTAAACTCTAAAAATGCCATTTGCAAGAGACTAAAATGCTTATTTAGCCATGGTGGACCTAAACATCATACTATCTTTTTATAGTTTAACAGTTCATTTCTTAATATTCTATTGCATGGATGTACTATAGTTTATTTATATATGCTACTATTGAAGGACATTCCGGTTGTTTTCAAGTTTTGGTAATTATGAATAAAGCTGTTATAAATATTTGTGTGCAGTTTTTCAACTCATTTGAGTCAGTACCAAGGAGCACAATGGTTAGATCTTATAGTAAGAATGTGTTTAATTTTTTAAGAAACTTCCAAACTGTCTCCCATTTTGCATTTCTACCAGCAATGAATGAGCGAGAGGCCAGGCCATCACCATCTCTTGCTTGGCCTACTGCAGTGGCCTCCCATCTGGCCCCTCAGCTCTCATCCTGCCCTCCTTCAGTTTATTCTTTCCTCTGCAGCCAGTATACTTTCTTAAAGTATAAATCAGACCATTCCAATGCCTAATCCATGAAATCCTACGTGGCTCATCATAAGCTCCGTTCCCATCTTCATCTCTTAGCCAGTCCTTCAAAGTCATTTTACCTGAGCAACAATGGCCTCCTTGCTGCGTTCAAACCTGCCAAGTTGGCTTCTGCTTTGGGGGTTCTGCACTTACTGCTTCTTTTGCTTAGAATCTCTTACAATATTTGTGGGGATCATTTCCTCACTGCATTCAGGTAGAGAGGGCTTCTCTGATCCCCCTGCTCAAATAGTAAACACCTTTATTCTGTCTTTTTAACCTGCTATAGACTTCTTTTTTGCACTTACCACTACTTGACGCCATGCCATATGCTTATTATTTTGTTTATTCATTTTGTTTCATCCACTGACAGTAAAAACCTTAAGAACAGAGAGTTGTTCCATTTTTGTGCATTGTTGTATCAGCAGCATCTGTAACAGTGCATGGGATAGACTGGGGGATCAACATATGCCTGGTAAATGACTAGTAAATGTCTGGACATATTTATACTAAACTATTATAAATGATTATCTTTGGGGAGAGGAGTGACATTTGAGGTGGTAGAAGAAGTTTTAGTTTTTAGGGTCCTTGGGAACCGTCCCGCCTGGTTTCAGGAACTATAGCCTCACCGACAGATGAGAGGGCCCCGAGGTTGGAGCTAAGCAAGGAGGCTTTGGAAAAACAGGCCACTGAGGAGACAAAACCTGTCCCTCTGGCGGGGCGCAGTCCCTGCCTCCCTCACATCACCCTGCTTGGCCCCAGAGGATGGCTGGTTAGTCAATGATGCGGAAGACCCCTCAATGGCAGGGGCAACCTAAGACAGGCACAGTCACATAAGGGCTATCAGGGAAGGACTTGGGGGACATGGAGAATGGGAAAAAGACCCTTACACCTTGGCTTTGATATGGCAGAGACTGCATTCTATCTGAAAGAAGTCTCCTCATCTCTTGGTGACTCTGCCCTGCCCATCTGGCTCAGGCTTGAAACAATACTAAAGGCAGGTATAGCTCTAAAATGGATTGGGCAGTTCCCGGGGGGGGGGGGGGGGCGCCGCGGGGGACAGGAATCAGGCATAGAAGTAAGTTCCTTGGAGCATGCTTTGCTCTTCCCTCAAAAGCTATGATAATCAGCTCATACTGGGAAGGAGATTTACATCATTCACAGACCTCGACCTGAAGCAAATCTCTTGTGTTCCTTCAATTGTTATCTATGATCTCTATTTGTTTTCTGTAAACATAGCCTTTTGACATTGATTGATGAGCTTTGCCTCCATATCCCTGCGCATATGCTTCTCATTAAAAGCCACTTCAAGAGAAGGGCTTGGGGCATTCCCCACTAGAGGGAATCGCCACCCCTTTCCCTGGCAGACAGAGAAATGTCTGGGACAGCTTAATTTTATTTCCCCATCTGTGACAACCCAGAGCAGCCTCTGCAGGACAGAGTCCACCTTCTGCCTCAGCAGGTGCCCAATGTGGGGTCCTTAGATCCAGAGCCCCGCGCCCCCTCAGGTCCTGTGTTATGTGATTGATCAGCAGCAGTGACACCCTGAGAGTAACTCACTGTTGGCAATCATCTCTTCATTGTCTTTCTGTTAATGTGCCCTTGAACAATCCTTTTATAATTTTTGAAGCAAATTATGGGGAGACATATATTTGGCATGGAAAAGATATTAAACGTTTTTATAGCATTTTGAATTAAAGGTACAGGAATTTTAAAAATTGTA